CATTTTCCTGTCCGCCCGCACCTCCCACGCCTCCCCCCTCAGTCAGTCCCCACATTGGCTTCCAGTTAGATATAGGGCTCAATTTAAGATTCTGGTGCTTGCTTACAAGTCCTTGCATAATGCTGCTCCATTATCCTCCCTAATACATAAGTATGTCCTGTCGAGGCCCCTGCGCTCTGCCGAAGACCTACGTCTATCTTCTGTCTGTACTCCCACATCTGATGCTTGCCTCCAAGACTTCTCCAGGGCTGGACCTTTTCTGTGGAACTCCCTTCCCTTCTCTGTTAGACTTTTACCCAGTCTCCACTCCTTCAAAAAAAATCTTTAAAAACACACTTCTTCAGGAAAGCATATCATTTAAACTGTTAGCGGGTTTTCATTCCCCCCCCCACACCCGCCCCATGACTCCTCTCCTGCAACTGTCAAAAATAAATAATAAAAAAAATTATAAATAATAGGTTCTCAGTGAATACATTTCTAGTAACCTATTTCATTACCCCTTCTTATATATACCCTTTGTGTCACTATACCCCACTCCCTCTAGCATGTAAGCTCATTGAGTAGGGCCCTCAATCCCTCTGTTCCTTTGCGTCCATTTGTCTGGTTACAATCACGTGTCTGTTAGTCCACCCATTGTACAGCGCTATGAAATTTGCTGGCGCTACATAAAAAATAAAATAAAAATTAGTGCTATCTTCAATGTGACAATAATGTTTAACTCAGCTTTATGACTAAGCCTATTCCAAAATTCTATGTGTTTATGACAGAGACCCTTTTGCCACATCTGCTGTGTGTTTGTTGCACCATAGCTTAATTCTTGCTCATTAATAAGGATTATATACCTTCCATGATGCTTTGTCATTCTAAAGGAACGTACTTGGGTACCCCTGTTGTATACGTTTTTTTTGTTGTTGTTTTTTTTTTTAAAGAAAGACAGGGTTTTCTTCTGATGGGGCATCAGAAGAAGGGGGCCTATGTATGCAAAGCATAACAATATATATGAAAAATACTGAAAAATAAATAAATGTAAAAAACAAAGGGAAAAAAACATAATTGCTTTGCTAATATTAATGTGTTAATAATAATGAAGGCACTCAGGCTGCTTCAAGGTGATAAGAATAACAACACAAGCTTACTATTCAACTTGTAATGTTTGTAGTACGTTGCTCATCATTAACTCAAGTGGAGGCGCTCTATTGTGTACTGTGGCAGTCATGAATGGCAGTCAAACACTTTTAAGAAAATTTTGTTAAATTCAAGTACAAAAGAAATTGCCTTTTTTGCTATCATGGTTATTCACTTAAGGGTGAATTGTGGAAATTCATACTGAATTTATAAAGAATTTTCATACTAATACACGCACTGATACAGATACACACACATATATATATATACACGTTATGACACATGTAAGCATTCACACTATGATACAAATACTTGCATACACATACAAACATACTGATAGACACACACACACACACATTGACAGATACAGACATAAAGTCACAGCTTGTGTCTCACAGGGTGTATCTGGCTGTGTGAATTACTAAATGTGTCCATGTGTGTCTGACCTAAATGTGTGTGTGTCTGTCAGTAAGTATGAATGTCTGTGAATGTTTATCTCTGTGTATGTGAGCATGTGTATCTCCGTATCTGGGAGCTTGCGGTGTGCTGTATGTATGCTGGTGGCCGCTTGACTTGCATTGTTATCTTACGTGCGTGGGAAGTGACTGTGTGTATAAGAATGACTGTCTTTGAAAGGGGGTGACAGTGGCAAGGAGAGTGTAACATGATGACTTGGACAGGGTGACTGTGTGGGGTGAGTGAAACAGAGCAAGTGGGTAGGAGGCTGATTGTGGAGGGTGAGTGTGAAAGGGTGAATGTAGAGGTGACAGTGTAAGTGTGGAGCCTGTGTCCAGATGCCCAACACAGTATATGTATATATATTTATTTATTTATTTTTATATTTTATTGCAGCCCCCTCCTTAAATTTGATACCAAGCAGGTTGTCATTGTCTGATTGTCTATTGGGCTCTGTGATGGCCCAATGGGCTGATCTACTGGTCTGAACTTTCTGTGGTTGCAGACCACTGACAATGCTCCATTCTGGTCTGTGACTGAGAGGGAGCTTTGGCAGTAATCTGCACCCACTGAAGGTGCAGACCTGCATTTCCCTCAATCATGTGAGCAGCACAGGGCAGGCCAGGGAGATCCCATGATGCGCCTGTTATTTTAGTGGACAGATTATGTTTTCAAATTGTCTGCTATGTGGACCATAGCTCACTGTGCAGTACATGGACCACCATAACCACTACTACATTTGCAGTGGTTATGGTGCTATTAGGATATATCCACCCAGGTGAAAATCAATCATTTTCAAGAGGAATTATTTGATGCAAAAAACCCTCAATGGCTAAACTATTTCTCTCTCTCTCTCTCTCTCTCTCTCTCTCTCTCTCTCTCTCTCTCTCTCTCTATATATATATATATATATATCTATACACACACACACACAAATACACTCTGATATATCTATGGACTATGGTTCACATAGCAGGTAATTAGTAAACATAATCTGTCCACTAAAATAACAGGCACATCATGGAATATAACTACATAAATACCCAGAACATCTTTGCAGGAACCACTGCTCACAAGTCAAGAAACTCCCCTGTATGTGTGATGATTCTGTCTCTAGGTGGCCATAACCGCCCAACACCAATTATTACAGAGACCAGGACAGTCTTTGGACTTGCAAAGGTTTCCAGGTACAGTGCTGGTAAGTATACTTGAACACAATGAAATAATTTGTTTCAGCCGAACCACTCTAAATAAATATATGTTCTGATAGGCACATGTTCCCACCATTTGGTTCACAGATCAAGTGAGAACACTAGAGACCAATAGACCAATAGAAACCAGTAGAGGCAAAATGAGGAGGGGCAGTAAAAAAAAATCTATATTTAAATATTATATATTTCATATTTATAATGATATAAATATGCAAATGTGCATCATTGTTTCCTCTTCTCTTCCTCTCTCAGAATCGGTCCTTGTTTTCCTAATTTCTATTCTAGTTTTCTACATAAGACAAAGTAGGAACTACTTTGTCTTATGTATTTTTCCTACGCTTGACTTTCTTTGACCAAAGGAGGAGCTTAAATCATCTCTATTTCCTGTGTCAAGGAGAAGGGTGGGTATTGTGGGAAAACTTTCTTTGACACAGGAAATGGAACTGACTCAAACTCCTCCTTTGGTCAAAGAAAGTCAAGCATAGGAAACATACATACGACAAAGCAGTTCCTACTTACATTATGTTTTAAAGAAAACTAGATAAGATAGGAAGAAAAGAACAGATTCTGAGAGAGGAAGAGAAGAGAAAACAATAGGATAAATGCACGTTTGGTGTGACCGTGCCTCTTTACCCCTTAAGGACACATGACATGTGTGACATGTCATGATTCCCCTTTATTCCAGAAGTTTGGTCCTTAAGGGGTTAAAGGCCTATTTTGTCAATTTGAGGGATTAAACTAAATGCTTCATGGACGGTACTCTGGCGCCAGAACCACTTCAAAAACCTGAAGTGGTTATAGTTCTTGAGTGTCTCTCTAACATCTATATTTAGGTTCTTTAACTAATTTGCAAATCGGTTTCAAAACGGATGGAAACCTACCAAATTACTGGAACATTTTTAATTCTCACAGGCACACAAATGGTAGTTTTGTCAGTTTTGAGGAAAAAAACAAACCTTTGTAATTACCATCTTCCTATAAATGGGAACCCTCAGGTCCTACTTGTGTTGAGTTTGTTCCGAGAATAATTTGCAACTTTACCTAAAGCTGGATCTCTACTGAGTTTAATAGTAAGTAGAACTGACTATTCCCAAGTAGAGGTATTGGGGAATATTCAATTTTATTTATTTTTATTGAAGGTTAACCTGTTGGATATCTTTTTTTTTTTTTTAAAGGATACAATTTTTTAAGTCTTATCCAACCTGACCAACCCTTAACTCTACGAATAAACCATTGCCCTTTCCCAAATGGTTATGACTTTTCCTTAATAATACCGCCGCCAAATTTACCAATCATTGTTTGTAAATGTGTCTACATATACCAATCTGTTTTCCTTAAATATTTGCTTTTCACTTGTTTTTTCTGGAATTAAATCTATTTGAAAACACACAATATTATACCTATCTTTAATGAATGCTTCTTCTTTTCCCACTAAGTAAATTTAAGTTGGATAATAGTAACACCCCCTGGGTGTTGGTCAAATGTAACATCCCAGGACGTTCTTGAAAACCAGAGAATATCTAAATGTACCTTTTTCTGGTTAAACATTTTATTATTATTATTATTATTATTATTATTATTATGTACACATTTATCACTATAAGTAATCCATCCACCAATCAGAGTGCTCCTGCAAAAACACTTCGACCTCCGATACTACAGGAAGAGAAAAAATATTGTATAGTGCTTCTCTGTATTTCATGCGATTCATATACCACGGGAAGACAATTGACTCAATCAATGGAGCTATCTTGACTACCTCATTTATTTCTCTCCTGTAGCACATGGATGCTATATGCTACAAGGCAGTACTTCTCATGTTCTACCCATCAGTATGAGGTCCATGAAATGTATCCTTTAAAAAAATGATGTGATGCAACCTAACGGGAGTTTTATGTAGCCTCACATTTTGTTACCATGAGGTGTTTTCACTTTGCACTTTGTTGACATTTGCAATGACATTACATTAGTGTATTGCGATATCATGTCTGCAACTCCAGTCACTTTTAGCAAGTTCTTCAAATGATAGAAGGTAATGCGTTTGTAATCTAACAGTATCTGTCCATCTTCACACTTGAAGAGAGTTATTTTATTTTTTTTGACAACCTAATGTCTAGAAGAGTGGTGGCATGAAATATGTTTTTAGAATGTTTTATTTAAAAGTAAAATGTATTTATCAGCTTAATAAAGGTTTTAAAATTCTGTTGTCCACAATATAAAACATAACATAAAACATACAAAAGTAATGTGATCACCCAAAATGTTGACATTTCCATTGGCTGCCGTGGATCGTTCATTACAAAAACCTAAGCAATATAAGTAGGTGTTTGATTGTGCTTTTAATTTCGTCAGTCATAAAATGGTGTTCAACAAAATATTTAATCCTTAGGACACAGTATTCCGAACAGTTTATTGGTGATTAGCCAATGAAAAGAGGTGCAAAAAAAACAACAGATTTTTGTTTCAAATCCACTGATATCAACAAAGAAATGAGGAACAATCAATCAGATCAAGTTAAAAGTCCAATTTATTTATTTCATTTTTTTGTTTGTTTTTTTTCTTTTTGTTTTTTTTTTTTTGTTTCTTTGTTTTATACTTGAAAACCGGAACAAGCCTTGTTTTGAACTAGCGTACAAATGAAATGGCAGACACATGCTGAAATCAACAGTGTGACAGTAAAAGGAAAAAAAAGAGGTCATAATCTGTTACAGAGAAATAAGATAACAATAAATATTTCACTAAGCCATGTTGAAAAGACCTCTGGCCATTTCAACATTTTATCCATAATAAAAAATAAAAAAAAAAAGTTGCTCGTTTTTTAAAACAGAGCGCAAAAATACCAAGCATTAATAAATAGTTTCAAACGTGTGGTAAAAGACAAAAAAAAAAAAAAAATTCCTCCAAGTAAACAACGAAAGCTCATACAATAATAGAAAAAGGTAATAAAAATATTCGCCTTGCCGTACAAATGCAAACAACATAAGTGACAATAATTTCGCTTTTGCAGTTTTAATATACAAAGAGCACCATAAAGATGAGGCTACCTGCAATTAAATTAAAATTTTGGACTGTCTTTTACTATGGCCTGAGATGAAATTCTTTGAAACACCATGGGGCGGAAACCGCTATTATCCTTAAGCATTTAAGCAGGTAACGCCAGTGCAATTTGCAGCAAGGCGCATAGGGTGTGTCAGATTGTGCTTGTATGGTTCAGGAAAAGGGTAGCTTTACCCAGAAACCATTTTTTTATTTACCATATACAATATATCTTTGTGCTTTGATTATTTTTTTTTATTAGTAATTTCATGAATGTGTTATGTAGTTCACATTTTGAGCGCTGTAAGCTTGCAGCGCAGCGTTAAATTTGCGGATATTAAAGTGGTTGCTTAATTTGCTGGTAAAATGCATTTTCAAAATGAATAGTTCTCGTAAAACATGACTTTTCATTACGGGGAAAATTTGGTCTCATGGCTGCCTAGGGGATGCAAAGTAGCCTGTACGGGCTATTCTGCCTCTATTAATATGGCAAAGATAGTCATTTCAAACAGCACTCGTTTGTACGACAACTTATACTTTCTCAGGTTTGTTCACCCATCGTGCTGACATTTCATCTCAGCCCATCAAACATTCAGGAATTTATGGAATGTACAAAAAGAAAGAGCAAAGCACACATTACATGGGCCGGCAAGAGCTTGGTCCTGTTCAAACAGGGCTGGCATGATTGTGCCTGGACTACCGTGGGCAAAAAATGCAGTCACTTCCGTACTATGAATAAATCACTCAGATTCGGAGGTGCATAACTATGAATAATTCACTCTCTACAAGAGGTTTTTGTTCTGGACTATTAATGAGCAAGTGGAATGTTACTTGTTTGTTTTTGTTTTTTTTTTAATACAAAAACAGCTTCTTTATTTTACATGGGTAATGAGTACCAATCAGTCCATACTTAATGAGGCCTTGATACAAGGTCCGGGCACCTAACGGGTTATTACATCCCTGTAGGAACAGCACTTTTTTGTAGGCCAATTCTGGAAAAAACGTTTATAACCAAAATTACCTGTGAATAAAACAATGATGAAATCTGTGTTGTTTTATTTGCCTAGATGTTGTCAAACAACTTTTTTTTTTCTTTTCTGTACAGTAGGACTTAAATAACAAATGATTTTTTTATTAATTTTTTTTGCGATATTTTATCCTGCCAAATGAAAAAAAAATATATTATGGCAGCACGTTAGTTTTTTGTGTTTATTTTATTTTTTTCAAATTCACTAACAAAAAAAGTACATTTAATCCTTTTAAAAGGACAAGCGTACGGTTAAAAAATTACAAGCTCCAGTAAAAATACAACAAGTGCCTACATCATTTTAACCAATCAATATTCATTCCATAAGAATAAGGGAGGGGGAAAATTAAGCACAGGTCAGAAATGTGATTTTTTTTTTTTTTTCTGCAACGCAAAAACAATATGAAGCACTTTTTTTTCTACTTAACTTTTTTTCTACATGGTGCAGCAGTTCACCTTTTAATCCCCAAATACAAGATTCTATACATTTTTTTTTTTAATAAAAAAAAAGAAAATCAACACCCAAGGCAGAAAAAAAAAATACTAAAACTCAGACTTTACAATTACAGTGACAAGAACAGATTTATAGACCCACCATTAAAATTTTACTGCAACATTTTCAAGGATTTTTTTTCTGGTTTTGTAAATTGCCAGGTCATTCTATATTATTACAAATACTGGTCCACTTTTACAGTAATCAAGAAATTTTAATATATATAATATATACTAAAACCCCATCACCAAATAAAAACATTATTATACACAGGGGCCTTGATGGCATTTTATAACCTATTAAGCAAACTTTGAAAAAAGAAATTATCGTCCAAACACACATACACACAATTATTTTTTTTATTTTTTTAACCCTTATAAGTATTGAATACTGTAAACGTATTTTAAGACAGAGTGCACTAAATTTAATGTTTGGAAAAAAAATAGCCGTTGTTCCTGAATTGTTTTTTTTTTTCCCATTCAACGATAACTGTTTTTTCAGTTCAGTTCAGCAGTAAATAATTTTCATTCCGTTTTCTAAGCAGCGTTGTCCTGAAATAAAAAAAGCTGACAATAATTCAGCTCAAAAAAAATGTTCAAGGTTGTGCTGGGTAAACATCTTCATGTGATTGGGTCTTATGGCATTTCTGTGTCCTCTATCTTCAACCAGATTTTTTTTTTTTTATAAGTAAAATGTGGCTTTTGTTTTGTTTTTTTAAGAAATGTACTTTTTCTTGTATTACTATTTCTAAGTCTTTTTTTTTGTTTGTTTCACAAAAATGTTTTGCATTTTGTCTCAAGAGAGACTTAAGATAGGAAGATCAGTTTTCAAGGCACTCGCTACAAATTGAATGGCAGTAGACGAACCGTCCAATAAATTATATATATGTTTTTATAGTGTCAGCATTGTGAATGCCATGCTTAGCAACACTAACACTTAATCTCAGGTGTTCCCTTATAAAGTTCAACCACCATCAGGTTGACAAGGAGAATATGCTATAATTTCTTGTTCAGAAGCCATTGAAAATATAAAACTCAAGTTTTAAAGTGCGGTCAACATAATTAAAATGGATAACCTTTCGATCTCTGCTGTCCTCCTGGTGCGCGCAAAGAAAAAGAAAAAAAATGGGAAAAGGGTCTTAAAAGCAGGTGTCATTAATGGAAACTTTCATTATTTAAAATAAATAACATTTTCAATCCATTATCCACAGTACTTGAAATCAGCAACTACATTACAAAAACAAAATGTATTCATTGGAAAACAGTGATGACCCTTTTAGACATTCAGAACTGCACAAACTACAAAATGCAGCAAGTGAATTCTGGACCAATTCTTTCTGTGCCAGATGGCAAGAATCGTTGTGTGGTTCATGTCCTCTGGCAATGAAAGCTTTAAAGGGTCAACAGTGCCACTATTAACAATTTCTGTGCCAGACTGGCCAACTACCCATTGCCCATGAAAGTTTTGAAGGGCACTCTGGCACTGAAAGCAGCAACTGTAAGGAATTGTTTACATGCTAGGATGTGTACAAATAGTTCATGTCTATAAATGGATGAAAAGACAAATTTTCATCCATGTGAAAAATGCCAACTGACAGTAGATTTTTTAATAAATTTTTATCATACCTATAAACGGGCTAAAATTTCACATTTTGTTTTTGCTTGACCTACCTCAGTGTAGATGGTGTTATTTGCTAAAAAGAATTCTGTTTTGCTAAAGCTTTTACCTATTTCTACTCATTTCCATAACTGTCTCAGCAAATTTTCTTTATTTTTCTCTTGATACTAGACAATTAAATCTGAAACCTATTCATAATGAAAGCTAAACAAACTATTGTTTAACGTTTCCAATTATAGAAAATACACCCATTATGCATTGTAAATATTTTTTGTTTTTGAAAAAAATCTTAAAAATTGTAAGTTGCTACTTCACTGTGATGCATGTAATCACACCACGCAATATAATTAAGTGCTAAAATGTTTAACGATTGTTAAGCCGCTGTGTAAATTCTCTCTCTGACCCCCATCTTTTAGGAATGGCAAGATAAAATCATAAAATAAAATGTAAAATATATAAAAAAAATATATAAAAATAAAAACATAGCTGATGGCTTCTTTGCAAGAAATTACATGTTTAGCTTAAATTCCAGAAATGTAGCAGCCCAAAATGATAATTTAAGATATGTTTATCCCCTATAAGGAAAATAATTTTAGGCTACTCTGGGGAAGGGGCATTGGAATTGTATTGTTCTGGAGGGGAATAACATGTGCTGTTTGATAACAAGTTGCTGTCCCCTTCAGCACAAGAGCAGTTTTCAACAACGATGAGCAAAAAAAAAGTAAAAAATATTTAAAAAAAAAAATTAAAACAAAATAAGAAAATTGATAAAAAAAAATGAGAAAATAAATTTAAACAGCAAAAAAAAAGTACCTGCACATGCCAAAATTACAAATAAAACCCCAATAAATACAGAAATTATTGCACAGTTAAAAGGCTCCACAATGTTTACTGCCTTATTCAACCCTCAGGTTCAACAGAACTTTGCAGACACAAGGATTTAAGTGCCGCTTTTCGACACCTAACATATTTATGCTAAATTATGTTTATGGAGGCAAGTTAGGTCAGCTTTTCTCAGTTGGCAATAGTTAAATCTGTACGAATTAAATGAATACCCAGACCCCTGATTTAACCCATATAGGGGGCCTTAGCTTCTTTCTGCCTGCTCAATTTTGACGTCATTTGACAGCAAATGTTCTCCATGCCATTTTTTCATGTGTTTCTCCAGGGTGCTGTAAACACTGAAGGGCATCTGGCAAATGTCACAGCGGTAGACCTCCTTACCTAACTGGCCATGTGTTTTCATGTGGCGCGTCAGCTTGCTGCTCTGGGCACATGCATAGTTGCAGAGCTCACATTTGTAAGGTCGCTCTCCAGTGTGGCTCCGGCGATGGACTGTGAGGTTGCTGCAGTTCTTAAATACTTTGCCACAGAATTCGCATGTGTCACTTCTCCTCCCTTCTTTCGAGCTAGGTCGACCAGGACCTGGTCCACTGATATGAGGCGTGCTGCCCCCACTTGCTGTGCCACTCCGCCCTGAGAGACCTCCATCCAGCATGTCACCTGGTGGAGTGGAGAACCGCAGGCTTCCATTTTCTGAAGAGTGCTCAGAAGAAGTTGCAAAAGGGGATTGTCGAGAGTCTGTGAATCCTAGAAATGGATCCTTCATGAAGTGCCGTGAAGCTGCATATCCTACCAGCCACTGAGAGTAAACGTTTTCAGAAGGGATTATAGTTGCTGGTGGCAAGTCCAAATCTTTCTCTATCTTTATCCTTTTGGATGAGTTGTTTAGGCCAGAACCGGAGATGGGCATGGGTTTTCTTGGGAGTAAGCCTGGAAAAGGTTCACCTGAGCCAAAGTTTCTTCCATTCACTGTGCTTTCATCATTACGGATGATTTCTCGCTCTACTCCATCTTCATCACCTTGCATTCTCCGACAAAGGTCTCTTGGGTCTGAAGACCGTTTTATAAAATGACTCCTCTTTTGCTTCTCGTTGAGCATGTCATTGTACTGCTGCATACCAGCTAGGCTGACATTCTCCATGACTTTACCAAGAACCATGGACTTCTCTTCATGGAGCTGCTTTGCGCCATTTTCACGATTACGACTCATTTCTGAATCCATACTGAAGCTTGATTCAGGTCTACTTTCATTCTCAAGCTCCTCTTCCTCCTCTTCCTCTTCCTCCTCTTCTTCCTCATTTTCGTGGCCTAGAGAACGGTCACTTTCATTTCTAAAATCAGTCTCATTTGATTTCACCCCTTCTCCTGTCAACTCACTAGTGCCTGGTTCTGGTGAGCTAGTGGCAGATAGTCCATCGTCCGACCTGCCAGTCATGGAACCAGATTTGTGCATATGTGTTTTCATGTGTCGTTTTAATTTGCTTGCTTGGGAACACGCATGATCACAAAGTTGACATTTATAAGGTTTTTCTCCTGTGTGACTGCGGCGATGAACTATAAGATTGCTCTGAAACTTGAAGGTTTTACCGCAGAATTCACAGGACTTGCTCTTGGCCTGTGTCTGTGGTGGAGTAGTACTATTGGGGGGCATAGGTGGCAAAGGAGGCGTGCTCATAAAAGGTGATTTAGGACTTGGCTGAAAAGGATTTAATAGGCGATGCATAGGATTTCCGCGATTGGGAGACACCGGAGGAGGAGTGGAGTTGTTCCCTGCCAGTTCTCGTAGCCGTCGGGAAAAATCCATAGCTGGAGATTCAATTGCCAGAGGGTTTAAACGCATAACTCTGTCAAAGGCACTGGGATGCTGGGCGACTAACCCCATTTCTTCGGCACTAAGGCGATGAGGGTCCAAATGGTGGCGAGGGGGTGGGCTGAAGAGTGGCGGTGTGTTAGGGAGCCGTGCCTCACCAAAGCCTGGATGTTCACGCAGAATGGGTCCTGTCATTCGTAAAAGGTTAAAGGGATTGCTGTCTCCAAGGAAGTTCATCAAAGGGGATGGTGCAACAGTCTCCGGTCCCATAGGTGGAGGGATTGTGATGCGTGGAGTGAGCGAACTGTTTGTCGGGCTTGTTTCCAGGTAGATACGAAATCCATGTGTGTTTTGAGCATGCTGTAGCAGGAACCACGCATTGTTAAATGGCTGCTTGCATGTTGTGCAAATATAGCTTGAAGGCTCATCTTTACCTATGGGAGACAAGAAAAATAATGTCAAAAACTTGCATTGTAAAGCACAAATCACTTGAAGCTCTGTAAAGAGAAAATGTGCATTGGGTACCAAAGCAGTTGCGGGACTTCAGATTCAAGCTGAGGCTAGTAGTATAGTGGGCCAGGTAAGTCACAGATGTGGTGGACTATATTTCCCAGCATGATGGGTAATGTAGTGAATCACACCTTCAGGGACAAATAAATGAGAACCCCATGTTGATCTAAAAATGATAGACTCCATACATTAATGATAAAAATAAATTGCTTAAAATAAAACTTTCATCACATTTTTACTTCTAGTGTTTTAAACATGTATGCCATTTAATCAACCTTATGAGGAAAAATAGAAGAGATGTCCAGGCACTCTCAGGATACAAAAAGACAAATTTATTGAACCCACTGCAACGTTTCAACCTACACGGTCTTTGTCAAGCTATAGGTCAAAACATTGCATTGGGTTCAATAAATTTGCCTTTTTTTATCCTTAGAGTGCCTGGACTGGTCTGGTGCACCCGGATACATTTCAAATGGCTTTGAGTGCAGTTCCACATTCCTGCTATATTTAATCAACCTTATTGATTTTTTGTTCAATGATGTATACTGATTTTGTTTGAGAAAATGTCACTTTTTTTTATCTGGCTGAGCAGCCATGTTGGGTCAGATTCTACTTTTAGCTGGCCACCTGCTGGTCAGTCTAACTTGCCTACTGCTACAGGATCACACTAAGAATACAGAGCAATTGCAACAGCAGGCCAGTCAGGCTGAGCAGTGTTTGGTCAGATAACAGTAAGGTCTGACACAGTAAAATGTTCTCATAACAAATAAAAATCAATATGCATTATTTAAAAATTTATTACGTTTTATTAAATGTAATAAAAAAGAATTAAAAATCGAGAAGTGCAAATATGATGACAGTTGTCCAATCTGTTTAAAATAAAATCCTATTTTTTTGTAAAATGGGGTACATTTTGTGATATATTGAAAAACACTGGCAACTAGATATTTCAAAACTGAATATTTCCTACTGATACATGTTTCATATTCTGCTCCTATCAGGTATATGTTTCAGAGTATGTAAACTAAAAGGTCTGTAGATCAATAAGTGCCTCAATAAATGTCACCTTAACACATTCACTTCGATTTTTTTTTTTTTTTTATATACACAGCAACTGTGCATAAAAGCTGACCATTGTTAACTTTGACATAAAGACTTATCCTCTACGGAACATTTAAACGGCTTACTTCATTTATTCACAATCACTTAATAAGTGACGGAGATGTTTGCAACTAGTTTTTGTGCCAGTTATATGATGAGAAGTAGTGAAAAAAATAAAAGGTGTAAAAAAATGAAAACTAGATTTAGAACAATAGAGATGAGTAATGACGGACAGGTAGCCAAATGGAGAGACAGACAGACACATAGATGTTTCTTAATAAACCTTCTATTATATTAAATATAGACACTGCAGAGGAGGTAATTACTAATGATTAGAATGTAAACATGCTGTATTTGTCACAATAAGTTCTGCAGTGTCCTCTCCCCCATTATCGATGGATGGAGATACTGGGGAGTTGAGCAACTAAAGACTGAACATTTTTTTTAAATGTCCCATTCCCTGTGTATAGACCAATCATGTGTGCTGAGTCTGGTCTACCAGGATTTCTGATATCACCAATTCACTTTACATTGGGTTTACATTGTCTCATTGAGTCAGGGGCTGAATACATTGGGTTCAATGGGCAAAGCCAACAAGTCAGAGGGTAGAGTCAAATTCAGAGGCAGAGTTTGGCTTCCCACCATCTTTAAAGTTTACCTCACGCCACAGACACAGACTTAAAGTAATCTTTTAAACAGTGAACAAAATAGCAGAGTTTATTTGCTTTACTACCTGCAAACACCCCAGTTGCATTTATCAAATAAAATAAATTCTGCAAACATTGTTTCACATGAGTCAAATTTTGTATTTTACTGAGTATGTAATGGTCACAGCCACAGGCCTACCATAGCTGATACCACACAACTCACCGACTTTTGAATTTAGAACAGGCACATGAAGAAACTTCTAATAATAGAAACCAGGGTTTTAAAGGTTTTTGTAGCATACAGTTCAAAGATAAAAAAAAAAGACAGCACTTTTTTTCCCCTTCAATGCCTGCATTTTGGGGGTTTTCGGTATACATGCAGCGAGGGCAGAAATTAGATCCTAAATCCGTCACTGAGTTCAAAACAGAGACAGGTACAGACAAGATACCTCCACAATAGCAGCTTTAAGTAACTGAGAAACTTCATGACACTCTAGAACTCGTTTCACAAAAGTATATATCTTTTAACTTTAGCCTGTCTGCCTTTCTCAGGGGCCCCATGATGCAAAGCTTGAGAGGGGCCCGCAGCAGGCAAACAAAACTGAAATATCGAATTAAAGAATCAGACAGCCAGGTATAGATGAACAACACCTGACTGTATTCTCCAGAAAGGAAATCAACATGGCTGCCATGTAAAATAGCAACAAAACAACAACAAAAATATAGATGAAGGCTATTGAACTAACTAGTTTAAACTTTGATTGCTGTAAGGTTTATATTTTATATAAAGCTGGTAATTACAGCTGTAGACAATCTTAGTTTCTTACAACAAATCTGAAATCTGCTTTGATATCCTAGACATTTTAAGTATTGCTCAAGTTCCTATCATTACTAATTAATGGCAGACTCCAAGTTGCTTTTAAATGTAATAAAATATATGTTAACGTGTCTGTAAATATGTTAACTGATAAGACCAATTCATTTTGGAGCACATATATTAATGCAACATATTTATAGAGTAACTTGTATTATTATTTTCTTTTTTTCTACAAGCATTTTACCATTATTCAAACTTTTATCTCTAATTTAGTATATATTTAACTGGGAATCACAAATGTCTGGACAATCTGGAACATCCTATATTTCAAGAGATACATTTTATAGGCTTATTTATCCAGAAATACTTATTAAACACCTTGGGCTCTCACAGGTATACCCCATATGATGTCATATACAAGATATAGCAGGCACTAACAAATATTTGTAGACTAACACTGTAAGATAACTTTTAAAGAGAGCAACAACGAGAAAATGATGAAAAGAAAAAACATACACTTTTAGTCCATGTTGTGTGGTGATTGGTTGCTTAGTACTTTCAGCCAATCAGATTTCAACTTGAATTTACATTTTTAATCATAATTAAAGTAACTAGAATATGCAATGTTCCTGGAACAACTGATGTATAAATACAATCTTCTAAATATTCTCTTTCATGTAACCTGAAATCTAGTTGAAAGACTAGTTTCAGCAAAACTGATTTTTATTTTTTTTAATGGAATTAATAAATAGGTACATTCACAGAGCTCTACTAAAAGGATACAAAAGACAGTAACTATATATTTAAAACATATAAATGATATAAACCTTTATTTGCTCTCTTTTCTCTTGCCATGTGTACTTTCAGCCCGGCATACACAGACGGGAACGTGTACGGGCAGGAAAGGTTCCATTCAGATAAACCTGGATTACAAAATCTTATTAATTCAACTTAAAAAAAACTGCATTGATATGTTCCTTTAAACTAGCAATCTATTCATCATTAGCCTGTCGGGACAAGTTAGAAGGAATTTTTCTTTTTTTCTTTTTTTACTTGTCAGTATTTTTTTTTATTTTTTTTAAAGCAAGTATACGTATTACTGTATCTATTTCCTGGGCTTGGCTATGTAGCTGTCACAATAAAAACATGAAAAATACAACAAGAATTCTACTTAACATCATTATAATCTGTTGGACTAAGATACTATACACAAACAAGAAGATTGTCATCTTTGGGGGAAAAAAAAATAAAAAAATGGTCACGTTTTACCCATAATTCATTTCTATTAAATAGTTTTTTATTCTCAAAGAAATTGACTTTTCACATTCAGATTTTGTGAATTTGTTGCTAGAAATTTGCCCAAAATGGCATTCAGGTTAAGGAAGACATCCCAATGCCAATGAGAATGGAGCTGTTGATTGTCAAAGCACAGAATCAAGACTCAAAAACAACAAAAAATGGCACGGAGGTCAACTGAAGGGTTTGCATCTACCAAATATGACGTATGGGGTGCACAATTTTTTTTGTCAACCGTATTTTGTAAAAAAAGGATGTCGTTGACAATGAGCTCCCATGATGCTTTGCAAGCCAATATATACCTCTGCCTACCTACTCTATATAATATAAGAAGAAAAAACATGTAAGTATGATGCTGGCTTTGAAAGGTCACAAGAAAAGTGTATGTATGAATACATCCACACATATCACACAATGTTTATGTGCATGTAAATAAAGTAGTTTTAGTTCTTCTCATTATGAAATAAACAGTAATACTGAGCCATAGACAAGCTTTCAACAACCTATAATTGGAATTTATCTTAACCTGTGAAGAAAATAAAAGTGTATCAGCGACATATATAAATATATGTGCAAAGGTTGTCATACTATGGTACTGTAATTTGCATTTATTGACTTCCAGGTGGCTTAGGGGAAAATTTATCCTTGGGATACTTTACTTCCTGCTATATTTATAGGAGTAGCATTGTGTGAAGGAAGTGATAGTGAATTTGCAAACGAAGGGGCAGTGATATTTTGCTCTAAGTTTTTAAATATTCCTAATTGTGTTTAATGTTTAGATAGGAATTTGAGAAACTTCAACAAACCATACATAGAAAATTCCTGAAAATAGAACCTAACAATTCAGCAAAATTCAGGTCTGTACACATTGCATACTTAATGGAAGATGGTGGTCGGAATGTGGTCAATGGTGGGGAGGTTAAGCACACTCTTTGACCCTAACTATGAGAAACTGTCTGAATGGATTTTAAATATAACTGTAGTTTAAAGAGAATAACCTACTTTTAAACTATTTTATATTTGCTTGTGGTTAACCCAAAAAAAAAAAAAACTAATAGTCGGCCACAGCCTGTTTACGAGTTTTCTAAAAATGTACTTTGGTTGGAAATCTTGTTACGTTATATGAGATGGGTTTTCTTCACATACCTGCATTGTGAGCGTTATCTTAACATCCATTTTATGGCATTACTATGGCTTTAGATCAGGGGTTCTCAACCCAGTCCTCAAGGACTCCCGAACTGTCCAAGATTTAGGGATTAAGCTGCTGTGTCTAATGTGTTTTTTTTTGGGGGGGTGAACAAACACTTTAGACACAACAGGGTAATCCCTAAATCCTGGATTGGTAGGGGGTCCTTGAGGACTGGGTTGAGAACCCCTGCTTTAGATGGTATAATAGCTCTGCACTTGAGATATTTGGTGTGGCTAATACTCAACAATGCTAGTTATGGGAAATCAATGTGCTAATGGTGAAAGGACTGGGATAAACGTAAGACTTGGAAAAAAGACACAGGCCTTCCAGATTCTCTTTTGGTTTACGTTACATATATTAAAAGCTTAAGTAATAAATGGAAATCTGGTTTCAATTTGAGAAAAATTAGAGAACAAAACAAGGTGGTTTAAAGTTAAAGTTTCAATTGATCGACAAAGTAGATTTAGTATAACAGATAATAGGGAAGCACACCATGGCAGTAAAGTGGGAGTCTGCGATTCTATAATGAGAAGATTAAAGGAACACTCCACGCATCACAAGCACGACAGCACAATTTAGTAGTTATGGTACCAGGAATGCAGTGACACCTCCCCAGTATAAGCAGTCAATTTATTTGCTAATAATCAGCGGACGCTCTCCATCAATGAGCTGGCCTTGTACTGTAGGACTTAGCTCAGAACAGCTAATGATCTGCTGGCTGTCAAAGAAGTAACAACATTAGCAAACAGTAGGTGCTATGGCACTGCTGGCACTATAAGCACTAGAGCACACTGTAGTGGTTATGGTGCTTGGAGTGTGCCTTTAAATCATTTTAGTCAATAGTAAATGCATGAATTGTAATTTGGTAAAAGAAAAAGAGCATATAAAAATTATTGTGCAGGAAACTTTACGCTTGAAAGTAAACAAACAATGTATAGGAATGCCTTTGTCATGGCCATGTTCAAGCTAATATCCTGGCATGTATATGTAATGCTCAGATAAAATGTATAGATATGATGTACTGATACAATAAGTCCAAACACTGTACAATTACGAGGGACAGATACAATGCAAGGATAATGTAAGAATTTTATACAGATATACAATGTATGAAAACAATGCACACATGCCATGCTCTGATCTAGTGTAAGGATTTATAATATACATTCGATGTACAAATACAATGCATTTATATCATGCATGGGCACTGCGTATAAATCTACAATATAATATACATAGTTAAAATGATTGGATAGGATGCACAGATACAATGCAATGATACCAGGTACAGATATAATGCTTGGATATCAAGCGCAGATACAATGCATTGCTAGCAGACACAGATACAACCGATGGCTACCAGACACAGATACAATGTGTGGACACCAGGCACAGATACAATGCATTTCTAGCAGACACAGATATAAAGTATCGACACCAGACACAGATACAATGCATTTCTAGCAGACACAGATATAAAGTGTGGACAGATACAATGCGTGGATACCAGGCACAGATACAATGCATTACTAGCAGACACAGATACAATGCGTGGATAACAGGCACAGATACAATGCATTACTAGCAGACACAGATACAATGCGTGGATACCAGGCACAGATACAATGCATTACTAGCAGACACAGATACAATGCGTGGATACCAAGCACAGATACAATGCATTACTAGCAGACACAGATACAATGCGTGGATACCAGGCACAGATACAATGCGTTGCTAGAAGACACAGATACAATGTGTGGGTACAATGTACAGATACAATGTGTGAATACCATGTACAGATACAATGCGTGGATACCAGACACAGATACAATGTGTGGGTATAATTTACAGATACAATGCATGAATACCAGATACCGATACAGTGCATGGATACCAGGCACAGATACAATGAGTGGCTACCAGACAGATACAATGTGTGGATACCAGGCACAGATACAATGCATGGATATCAGGTACATATACAATGCCTGAATACCAGACACATATACAATGCGTGGATACCATGTGCAGATACAATGCGTGGATACCAGACACAGATACAATGCGTGGATACCAGGCACAGATACAATACGTGGATACCAGACACAGATACAATGCGTGGATACCATGTACAGATACAATGCATGGATACCAGACACAGATACAATGTGTGGATACCAGGCACAGATACAATGCATGGATATCAGGTACAGATACAATGCGTGAACACCAGACACATATACAATGCGTGGATACCAGGCAGAGATACAATAAGTGGGTACCAGACACATATACAATGCGTGGATACCAGGCAGAGATACAATACGTGGATACCAGTCACATATACAATGCGTGGATACCAGGCAGAGATACAATACGTGGATACCAGGCACATATACAATGCGTGGATACCAGGCAGAGATACAATATGTGGATACCAGGCACATATACAATGCATGGATACCAGACACAGATACAATGTGTGGATACCAGGCACAGATACAATGTGTGGATACCAGGCACAGATACAATGTGTGGATACCAGGCACATATACAATGCGTGGATACCAGACACAGATACAATGCGTGGATATCAGACACAGATAAAATGTGTGGATACCAGGCACAGATACAATGTGTGGATACCAGGCACAGATACAATACCTGGATACTAGACACAGATACAATGCATGGATACCAGACACAGATACAGTGTGTGGATACCAGACACAGATACAGTGTGTGGATACCAGGCACAGATACAATGTATGGATACCAGACACAGATACAATATGTGGATGCCAGGCACAGATACAATACATGGATACCAGGCACAGATACAATACGTGGATACCAGGCACAGATACAATACATGGATAAAATGGAAGGATGGATACCATGTACGTACCAATGTTCTTGCTATGCTATCATCATTAACATAAAAAGACTTGGAAACAGTACCATTCGGTAAAGAGCAGTATGTATAAACAGAGATGCAAGTGATGTTTCAGATTTTACACGTAAAACATCACTACACACAGTATTTTTACTTACTAAATAAGCAAAATGGCTGCTTCTTCTGTCAAGACAGATTTAACTCATTTTGCTCTCATTGCTCGGATTCCAACAATCTACACGCTAAGCAATGTTTTACACCCATTAAAGTGTGTTGTAATACTTCCCTTGATGTAGCTTATTATATATTAAAAAATGTTAGCACAGGTTTATTGTGAAATCTTTTTTTGCAGTATCTATTTCACTGATCTCTCTTCAAATTCCAGTATATATTCTGATGGATTTACATTTTATTTGAATGCATTGTACATTTATCTGTGTGGAGATAATTGAGGCTATACAGAGCACGAACACTGTATTATATAGGTTATTTAATACAAAGGGGACTCATTAACAGTGCAGTACAAACAAGAACTAATATATGTATATTGTTTCGAGTGACATTATAGAAAAAGTGTTTAGACCCACTGGGATTTATATAACACAAGAAAACAGCAGCTTAGGCACTTGTAAATTTCTCGCAATTGTCTCTGAAGCTAAAGGTTATTCCCTTGATCTGAATAAGTAATAAAACATGATAGACTAAGGTCGGCTGAGAAAGTTTTAGTATTTAAATTACATATAATAAGAGGAAATTGTAGGGTAGAAACTGTCCTGTCTAATTGTTGGTGACATCCTTGGGAAGCAGATATTTTTCCCATGTCCCTATAGATGAAATACGCCACGTTATTATTTTATCTCGACGACATGGTTTCTGCATGAATTTGGCGCGGTTGCTATTTTCAGTCTGCATTTTATCTGCATTCCTTGAATTTCGCACCTGCACGGCAATAAGAATTCTTATATGTTTGATTAAATTTGACATACTTGGTTTCAGAGGAGTTTCAGGAAACAAATACTCTTTTGGTGACAAATGTGTTCTAAACCGCTGTTAGGGATTGATAAAAATATATCATATCAATCTGCTTAGTTAATTCATTCAAGGTTTAGGGAGAGGTAAAGGGGGAGGAGGGGAGGTAAATACTGCATTTATTTATCTCCTCCAGACATGGAGAACAAATTAGATTCAGTGTCGCAAATGCAACCTTTTACTTCTTTCAGCCTCTCACAACATTTAGGTAACAAATTAATTAAGTGAGGAGTTGTCTACGTTTATGACATCATCTCATGTTTAGCCCATGGCGTTAAAAGGTTACACGAAATAAAAAAAAATAAGAGAAATAAAAAGGAAAATGAGTAGATCTTGTTGTTCCTAAATAAAATCCAAGGTAGAGAGGCCGAATGAAAATGAGTTCAATTTTTTTTTTATGACGCCGCGGTTAATTCTGCTAGAGGTAAAGGTTTTTACTTCGCCTTCATACAACAGTCTGTTCAGGTTAACCAACTGCAGTGTAAGAAATTCTTTTGCCGACTTGTCACCTAGCACAAAAGTCATCAGCAACTGAATGTTCTTTTCTGCTCTGCAATTAAGACAAATCAATACGACGTGCCACAAATGGTATTTTATTCTCAATAAGAACTCTGGGCTGAGTTTATTCAGAATATTTTAGTGCTTCCCTGGGGGATTTTGGTCCAACGCAGATGGCAAATAAAGTACTTTGCCTGGGGCTAGAGCACATTATGCTAATTCTAATGTCAGATGTACTTTAATATACAGCTCTATTTAATCACCCCATTATTTCACATTTCCATATGAAAAACCTGCGGCACTTCTGCAGAGCTTTCACCCGTTTGACAATGCCAACTTCCTTCATGTGACTTCACTGAGAGACAGAAAGGAACGCTGGTCAGTCTCGCCGGGGCTGAAAGCTTCTGCCATTTGCACCCTTTCTGAATTTAAAGCTGGCTGATGGAATGAATTAAGATCCCACTCAAATGCCAGCATACGGCTCGTCAACAAGTACTCCCGTACAAGATGATTTCGGCACCCACCACGGCTGACCAAATTTATCATTCTTAATCCTCAAGAGAGCAAATCCAGTTATTGTTTGGCATTCAACCACGTCAATCCAAAATCATCTGTCTTCCAAAAATGTGCCGATTGAAACTGGCTGCCCCGAACGTATCATTCCAATTTTCATTTTTGTAGTATATGTAAGACTTATTGAATATATAGCAAGTACTCTAGGGACGCGTTAAAATAAGAGATACCCTGCCAGATGCATTTTTCATCTGCATAATCATTTAAAAGGGTAGTATGGTCGCTATATACATACAGACAGTACGAGAGGGCTAGGCAACCTTTCGGCATTCCAGAAGTTTTGGACCACATCTCACCTGCTGCTTTGCCAATATTACGGTTGTAAGAGCATTACGGAAAATGTAGTTCACAAGCTCTAACGTGCCAAAGGTTGCCTACCCCTGTACTATGTGTTACCACCGAATACAGATGTTATATATAAATATTGGAAATTACAGCAAAGTATTGATATTTATTTGTAAGTTTCACAAATAAACACAGAATACAACTATATATATATATATATATATGTGTGTGTGTGTGTAATAATTTAAAACCTGAAAGGAATGCCATAGGTAGAAATAAATTCAAATTCAAAAAATATATAGTAGACCCTATGTTTTCTGCTGTCTAGCTAGTTACACATTAAGCATTCACAAACGCACAAATGTATTGTCACCAGCTTTAAAGTTCGTAATTGGGCAAGTTGCATTATACCTATATATTATTTGTGTGGGTTTGGTTTCAACTTAATGGTGTTTTAGCAGGCAGGAGCCGAGATACTTGTAATAATTCAATGCAATGTGTTGGCGATGAAATTTTTGTTTGTTCCAGTCCATTTTTTCTGTCTATTTTTTCTCTGTGTCAGCCTCAAGCTGGCCTTGCTCCAGATATAGTTCATCAGTCAGGGAAATGTGGCTATCTGACACATATGGGGCAGTAAAAGCTTAATTGGCTCCTGGGTCCTGATAAAGTCTGTCCGTGTGGAGTTAGCTAATATCTTTCTGTTATGACCTGTGTTTTTGCACAGGGACGAATAGATCGGGTGGTTCTAGATCGAAGAGTTGGGGGCTGTGATCTATTTAAGGTTTACATGTCTTGTGCAAAATGTTAGATTTCCCTTTTTTGGAGAAAACAGACTGAACACACGTTTAGACATTATTTCCCCCTTGTGTCAGTTAGATGGTAGATTGTTGTAAAAATAAAAAAGTAAGAACATGGGGGGAAAAACTGCAAATTAAGTAAATCTAATAATAATTAAAAAAAATAATAATAATGAAATATATATATATGTTAGTTACACTTCAAACAGAAAAAAGAAATATCTGATTATTCTGATCAATTCTTGATCATTTCATCACTGCCTACGTTGCAAAGTGATGTCACGAAGTGATGTCATAGCATGCAGTTCCTTTCAGGCACTATGTTTTTGTCCCTATATTTTTTTTTTTCTCTCTCTTTCCTTTCTGCTGGCAAAATAACGTGGAAAATGTTTCCAGGCAAAACAAACTGCTTTCCTTCTTTGGATCAGTATTCATTACATAAGAGATGTAATAAAAGAATGCGAAGAATTTAAAATCCTAGGAGAGCCTGCTGCCTAAAAGCTATTTTTAATACAATCAGTGCTGCAATAGAAACACTAGAATGAGAGTCAATTTTTCCTCTATTTGCAGAAGTGCGCCGGTTTTCGCTGGAACGACGCCTGTGTTTTGTTTGGCTCTCGCTCATACGCTGACTTGGCAGGCGTTTCTTGGACAGCACATAGAGAATATCTCTCTTGCATACAGTAGCTCTCTCATTTTAAGCGCCCTAGCCACGCGTTTTCTAATAACAGAGCGAAAGCAGCACAACCCTCCTGAATTGTTTGGGGCAAAAGGAGAATCCAAAGCATTTTCTCCATTAGAAACAAAGACGTTACAAAGCCGGGGATTGCATGAACGGAATTCTTTCAAATGTATAATAGACAACGAATCAGTTCTAAAATAACTCCACTTTTTTTTTTTTCTTTTTAAATCTGCTGGTGTTTTCCATAAAATGCTTCAGTTATGGAGAGACTTGTGTGCCTTCTGGACAAAATACAAAATATTCTGACAATCCTGTGAATCTTTGGATGTCTTTACTTTACAAGATCACAGCTGCTCGTGTGCTCAATCTGTGCTATACAATATTCATTTGGATTTTGTCTGTTACATATTAAATTCCCCCTGCAATCCCCTCACTCACTAATTGGCTAATCTAAAAAAAAATAAAAAAAAAAATTCCCTTTTGCATTTTTTAGGAAGCAAAAAGAGAAAAAAAAATAAAAAAAATAAACATCTTAGTCAGTGTGTATGAAATATTTGCAGGCTGACACTGCTGCACGTGGACTTTTTTTCCCCTGAGCTATAAGAATTAACTCTTTAGTTGCCAGGTTACACCCTTTCCCACAGTTTTAACCCCTTAAGGACCAATGATTAGGCAAATATCATGTCATACGTCATACTTTGTGTCAAAATTTAATAAGTCGCTGATTTTACAGTATTTAGTCCCTAAACTGGGAATTGTGAAGAACTGACAACATTTTCAAAAGCTGGATATAAATACACTAGAAAAGTTTCTTAGTTTGGCTTACATTTTAGAGATTCCAGTTAGTTATTAACCCCCACCTCCCCACCCCCCTTTTTTTGGATTTTTCTAAGTAAGATACGCCTGTTAAAATATAATTCATATTTGTTAATTGTTTTATATATATGTAAAATTGAACCCATGTCTTAGAAGGTATTACCGGCGTTGCTACTGAAAAATATGTGTCAACTCAGCTCAATTGCATGCCATGCAGTCACATCCAGAACCAGCAGAACATTCCTGAACCAAAACCCAAGTACTGGGCTATTTTATGAGCATCATGTTTCTCAAGGATCGAGTGTATAAATATTAGTGTTTATATATTTTGACTGACATGCTTCCTCTTTTAACCAACTCCTCATAGACCTCCTCAATTTACCATTGGCAAAATGTGAAGTACTGCTTTTCAAAAAAAAAAAAAAAGTATCTTTATACTATCTTTATACATTTGTATCTATGACGTTGATAAACACAGTTGGTATTTTAATTTAACCTATATATAACTCCCAAGTGTCCTATTTAGGAGTGACAGTCCCTCTTTTCTATTATCATGTACCAATTCAGTGAACAAAGCCCACACGATAGAAACATAGAAACATAGAATGTGACGGCAGATAAGAATCATTCGGCCCATCTAGTCTGCCCAATTTTCTAAATACCTTATCTTATAGTTAGGATAGCCTTATGCCTATCCCACGCATGCTTAAACTCCTTTACTGTGTTAACCTCTGCCACTTTAGCTGGAAGGCTACTCCATGCATCCACTACCCTAACAGTAAAGTAATACTTCCTGATATTATTTTTAAACCTTTGCCCCTCTAATTTAATACTATGTCCTCTTGTTGTGGTAGTTTTTCTTCTTTTAAATATAGTCTCCTCCTTTACTGTGTTGATTCCCTTTATGTATTTAAATGTTTCTATCATATCCCCCCTGTGTCGTCTTTCCTCCAAGCTATACATGTTAAGATCCTTTAACCTTTCCTGGTTAAGTTTTATCCTGCAATCCATGAACCAGTTTAGTAGCCCTTCTATGAACAAAGATTGAATGTATTTTGTTAGTAAATGAACTTGGAAGGCCTTGACCAGTTAAATCCTTTATATTACCCTGTGAAGTCTTATAGAGTGTAAGGTCCAGTGATCATGGACTTCTGAACCCACACCACCCAAGTGTCCCTATTTATGAGAAACAGGCCCTCTTTTCCAGGAGCTCCTTGTTGTTGATGTATCTATGTGTATAACAGCTCCACAACAATAATTCTCCTAGTAATGGGTCTTTAAACTACAATAAATGTGCTTAGAATCAGTCTGTAAATAAGATCATTAGTTCTTGTTAGTTGCATAAATTATTATTAGTAAATCATCTAAAATTTCTCAAAACAGCCCTGACCCCATCCCCACTCACACCTCTAAAATGAAAGAATCCCTCTTTGTCCATTTGGAATGTTGGGAGGTATGTCTACATTTATAGCTACTTATCTGCCTGCTATCTAATTTATTCTGGTTCATACAGTTTACCACAAGTCTCTCAGGGTTTTTCACCAAAGTGTGAATTACCAGAAATTCAAAGTGAAATTCAAATTTTAGGACAAAATAGTCAAACTGAAAACATATTTAGAGAATGGTATATTTTGCAACACAGTGAAGCACAAATAGCCTTTACGTGCAGTCATACTCCCAGCACAGTAACTGGAAGTGGTATGAACTTAACTAAAGTTAGACAGAAGTGATAAAGCCAATCAAGGCTGCCATTTTCTAAGGATTAACAATGTTGCTATTGAAATTCTGCAGGGACGGGGTACTTCTACCATAACCATTTCAGAAAGTTAAAGTAATTTTGGTGCGCAAAGTGACCCTTTAAGGGTTTTTTTTTCTTGTTTTTTTTTTTTTAAAGCAGCACTGTCTCATTTCCTCCTTTTTCCCCCTGAAAAATTAGTATTTCATAAAGATAGAATTTTTATGAAATACTCATTATGATTGTGTTGGAATTTTAGTGAAATTCCAACCAAGTCAAGAGATATACAGTGACAAAGTAGGGACTTAAGATGGCTGCACCTACGATGGACAGATAAAGGCGAGTAAACTCACCTTTACCTGCCCCGCTGGCCACCCGACCACCAGCGGACTTGTCACCATCGGGGTACTTTGCGAATTCGACAGTGCCACTTTAACTCACTCAGTGTTGTTATTATTAAAGGGACAATATAGTCACCCAGACCACTTAAGCTCAATGAAGTGGTCTGGGTGCCAGGTCCCCCAGGTTTTAACCCTTCAGATGTAAACATAGCTGTTTTAGAGAAACTGCTATGTTTACATTGCAGGGTTAATCCATCCTCTAGTGGCTGTCTTCCTGACAGCCGCTAGACACGCTTCTGCGACGCTGGATGCGAAATTTGCATCCAGCGTGCAGAACTTCGATAGGAAAGCATTGAAAAATGCTTTCCTATGGACTGTTTGCATGCGCATTATGCTCCACTCAGGAGCCGGCGTCAGAGGGGCAGGAAAGGTCACCAGTGCTGAGAGATCCCGGCACTGGATTAAGATAAGTAACTGAAGGGGTTTTAACCCCTTCAGCACCAATGGATGGGGGCCCTGAGGGTGGGGGGTCATAAGGATGCTATAAGGTCAGGAAAACGAGTTTGTTTTCCTGACACTATAGTGATCCTTTAACCCCTTAAGGACCAAACTTCTGGAATAAAAGGGAATCATGACATGTCAGACATGTCATGTGTCCTTAAAGGGTTAAAGTCTTCACTGCAGAGCAACTATAGTAGAAAGTGTTATACTGAGAGCATTTCCCTATTCTGTGCTTTTTTTTATTTCTTTTGAATTAAACTGTATGGAGGTAATTACAGAACATCTTGACGTAAGCCATTTAAGAAGTACGTGTCGAGTAGGTAAGGTATCATAAAGCAAGCAATCACCATAAACATAGCTGCACCTGGGTTATTGTTGATTTTTGGAGTCCAATAAAAGAACATAGGCTGAAGGAATAAATATGCATTTTATGGTGTAATTTCACATCAATCATGTAATATTTACTTATGTTACATAGAATGATAAAACACATAAATAAGATTTCTCTACTAAAAGTTGAAGTGCGATAAATGAAAATACAATCTACCAAATGTAGGCCATATTGGCTAAGTTGTAAAAATTCTACTGAATAAGCTTTTACTTTTTCCTGACTCTTCTGTCAATTGGATTTTCAGTTCTGCATAGACCACTGTTTAGTGACTATACCCCTTAGTAAATATGGGTAATATTTTTATTTGGTGGCTACACATGCTTTGACTGAGCAGTAATCTCCAGTCTACATCGGTGGGTTTCAAATAAGCGTGTGTGGGGCCTAGCAATAAGCCCTCTTCCTTCTAGATAAATATCTCAACCAAAAAAAAAAAAAAGAAGAAAAAAAAAACAGGAAAACAATTAAAACTGGAAGGTAATAAATGATGAAGAATCGTATGAGCAGCGTCCTGGCACACGTCCCAGCATTCATTCATGCATCACAAAATCCCACAGCTCTGAGTCTTTTAGAGGGCAGCTGGGCAGTCAGGATGTCCCCAGCAATATAAATGGGAATTAGATATGATCGAATGTGTGCATCGCATTCTCTACACTACATGCAATTTTCAAACACCCACCCCCCTTTCTAAAATACATGACAAATGACCCTGTTCCTTAGCAACAGAACAGATGAAGGGATTTTAAAGTTCCAGTACATGACACAAAGAGTACTTTTGGATCATCAAGGGACTATGATTAGACAGCGACTGCACATACCATACTCTGCACAGTGCTCATTAATAAAATTAACAGGAGTTACAGCAGGAGTACAGAATTGTATTGCACGTGACATTTGTAGGATAAATGCTACTGTCCCACAAAATGAATGGCTTCACTCTCTAATGGGTTATTTACTAATCTGGGAATTGGGGAGAACAGATAAATGTTTTACAAATTTTAGCAGAATAAAAAAAAAAAAAAACATTCCAATTTAGCTGTTTAGAGCTATTTCCAGGTCAAATAATTAAAGTAATTTAATCCCTTTGCCTGTGCTTCACAATTCCTGTTTGGTGAATATACCTCTATGGTTATTAAATTCAATATCCAGCCAAAATGTATTCCTCGGGGGTGGAGCCAACCATGAAGTTACTTGTCACTCTCAACCATCCACTGCATAGGGCCCATCTTTGGACTATATTTGAGTTAATATGCACTGATAAAACTGAATAGGTGGATACATTGTAGAGCAGTGTAGTTACTGTTTGAGTGCTATAGTCAGTTTACACTTTTAATCTAGTTTGACTATAGTTTATGGTTCATTTTAATATTCCTTCTGCACATTTCACTAACTCACTAACACACAGCAAGATCAAGTCTGCATCTGCATTAAAACATTTTCACACCTCCCAACATCTTAAATGGACAGAGACAGACACTTTCATTTTAGGGATGTGGCCAGAGGCTGGGCTGTTCTGAAATTTTGCTGGTGACTTACTAATAACAACTTATGTAACTCAAATGTAATTCAAATGTAATTTGTAACTAGAACAATGCATCTTATTTACACAGACTGATTTCGAAACACACTTTTTTTTTGTAGTTTAAAGACACGTTGCTGTGAGTATTATCCACTCAGGTACACCAACAACATGGAGCTCCTAGAAAAGAGGGTGCGAACAAGGGACTGTCCTTCCTAAATAGGGACACTTGAGAGGTATGCATTTAAAAACAAAACAATGGCTGACAAGCAGGTTACATAACACATATTCTATTTTTCTATGCAAACATAATAACTGCAAATTTTATTTAGTGTCCCCAACCAAACAAATTGGCTTGTGGATAATTGACAAGGGGATAGCAATTTTTAGAATACAGGCCTAACATTTGCAATTCCCTTGCTTATTCCTCACAATTTTTGGCGTAGTGAATAGCTCTGATTCGTAAGCACCCTGGACCTGATGCTAAATATGTAGTAGGCCCACTCCATCAGCAATGGTTATGTAAGAAACCAATAGCCTGCAGTAACCACAAGCAAATTTATTACAGAGTCCCAGTCAAAGATGAACTAAAATAGCTTTTATTAATGAGATCCTTTGACTTTAAAGATATGAATCAACATTCCTGGTTTCCTCTCCCATATGTTCCAGGCATTCCCATTAACTATTACACATTCTAAACCACGATCTCTGTACAATAAAAACAGATTTTCTTGCCCCCGACCAGAATAGAGGTCGAGCAATTGATTTTAATGCTGCCAAAATATCCACGATCCATTTATTTTGTCCCAAAAATAAACACAACTGCACCTTCGCCAGGCACCTCCGCAAACGCGAACTCAGAAGAATAAAAATCATTTATTGCAGAATTATTCACTTTTCCTTATGATTCACATCCCGGTAATTACCATGACCAGCCTAATAAAAACTGCGACAAAATCAAGGTCAACTAGCAGTTATAAGTGTTCATTTTCATTTCAATGTATTCATCTCTGGATCCTAATGGCCTCATTTTCTCCAATGCTCTTTAATAAATACTACTGAATTACAGGTTAAATAGCTAAATTAAATTATTGCAATTACAGTGTGCAGAGCCCTGAAACTAGTTTACCTTTCCCAGTTCAATTAGAGGGGAAGTTTCAGCCGCCTCTGGATTCTGATTGTTGTCGAAGGAATGAATTACTATCCGCAAGTGCCAAAACTGCCCTGTATCCGTTTTCACATACTTAAAGGGGCAGTCACGAGAGGTCAATCTAATCATCTAAAATTAAATCCTACCTCACCTGCCTCATTCAAGCCTGTGGCCTGTGTCTGTGTGTATATATATATATATATACATATATATATATATATATATATATAAAATGAGAACAATTAAAGCAAAATCCAGGCCAAAATAGCAAACTTTGGAAATAGAAAATAAAATAAAGTAATCACTAACTTAACAATTTTGCGTGATTTCGCAGGTTAAAAAAACGCTATCTGGCAAAGCATCATGGGAGCTGTTGTTCTACCTTAGCTAACTTCATTCTAGAATGTTAAATTGTCAGCCCAGGCCTGTCTGGTGTCTAGTCAGTTCTGCCTGGTGTTTACATGTCTTTCATTCTGTTTAACCTTTCATGCACACCATGTCAAAGTGCAATGGCACAGAGTAGGCTGCCTTAAAATGAGGTCACATTCAAACCCATTCACCACTATACATTGCAAGAGACCAACTGGATTTCCCCTTAACACCTTGTTTCATGGCAATCCTAGAGCGCCATCTGTCCTGAGGCTGTTAAATGGGGGTGTCAACTTGTATATGTATACAATATAAAAATGCACCCTAAAGGGGCTCACACACTGCAAAACATCCATGAACTATACATCTGTCATAGCCATCTCCTCTCAAGGAGGAAGGGTTTACACCCTGTCTTTCCAGTTAAAACCCTGGGGCTGGCGAGTTCACAGTCACCTTCAAACAACGCCTGCAAAAAACACATCACCTACAAGAACTATTTGGCTTTATAAATAACTTACCTAGGTTAACACAAAAGCAACCAAAAAGCTACAGCAGTGAAGGCTAACCCTGGCACCTTGGGTGTTGTAAAACCACTTTCAACAATGCTCAGCCAGCTTCTTGGGAAACCACAAAACATATGAAGTTGAGTTTAACACCATTGATGGTTAAATAAATAGGCAAGAGCGAAATGTAAAGCGGTTAACCTATTCTTTTGCACCAGTAACAATCCTGTAACATGCTAAAAACAAACACAGATTCCCAAGACGACAAACGTTTATGTGTCTTGTGAGATAGTAGTATGTATACGCTTTGTACAGCGCTACAGAATTTGTTGGTGCTTTATAAATAACATAAATAATAATAACAGGTACATATCTCTAGACACAAACAAGTGGATTGACAGTTTCAAAGTAGGGAGCGTGGTCAGGGACAGAGCTATACCCAGACATTTTTGGTAACTTTATGACCTGCTGATGTCCGATTATGTAACTAAAAATGTAAATCAAAACAAAGTTTCTTAGTTATTTATCCCTTAAAGGACCACTCTAGGCACCCAGACCACTTCAGCTTAATGAAGTGGTCTGGGTGCCAGGTACCTCTAGGATTAACCCTTTTTTTTTATAAACATAGCACTTTCAGAGAAACTGCTATGTTTATACTGAGGGTTAATCCAGCCTCCAGAGCCTCTAGTGGCTGTCTCATTGACAGCCGCTAGAGGCGCTTGCGTGCCTCTCACTGTGAAAATTACAGTGAGAGCACGCAAGCGTCCATAGGAAAGCACTGTAAATGCTTTCCTATGCGACCGGCTGAATGCGCGCGCGGCTCCTGCCGCGCATGCGCATTCAGCCGATGATGTCGCGAGCAAGAAGGAGAGGAGGAGTACAGCTCCCCGCCCGGCGCTGGAGAAAGGTAAGTGTTTAACCCCTTCCTCTCTCCAGAGCCCGGCGGGAGGGGGTCCCTGAGGGTGGGGGCACCCTCAGGGCACTATAGTGCCAGGAAAACGAGTATGTTTTCCTGGCACTATAGTGGTCCTTTAAGGACACAACTTCTGGAATAAAAGGGAATCATGACGGAAATATAGGGATAGGGGATATACTGCGTTCTCTCGTGTAAAAGACACATTGCTGTGAGTTTTATTGCTACAAAACTCGGTTATACACTCAGACATGCTAAAATATGAAGATCCTTGTAAAGTGAAACGAAACATCAGAAGAGTGGGACACACAGATTTGGGTCATAAATAGGAACTGCCCCTCTTAAAATGTTCATGTAAATAAGATACTTAATTCTTGTTTTAATTAACAACACCTTAAAATCAAATTGTCCCTCTTTGTCCATTTAAAATGTTTCCAGGTATGAATCTAAATAGTGAAATAAAACAAATAAATACTGCTGTGATATATTATTATATATTTGCAGATCTCAATAACCTTTCCTGTGCAGAGAGTCTGTGGTCAATATGTGATTCAACAAAGACATTAGTTAACAAATCAAGTCTATACATCTGATCACTTCAGCAACAGCACCAATCGCAAAATCTTGCATAGTTTTATTAAGGTTACAAAGCGAACAATATAGGCATTTGCAGAGCAATTTGCTCTGAAACTTAAGGACTTTGCTAATCAAAATGTAATTAGCCCAAACATCTTAGTCACAGGCCTGCTAGCGAAGAATGAAATGATCAGAGCAGATATTTTGCTGCTAGGCTTTACGTTGAATGCATTTTTGCACATGAACAATAAATGTGACTTTTTTTTTAATTGCTACACAATTTGTTACAAGTGTAGTGCTTTGATAAAATTAGCTAATTTTAAAAAGTAACATTCATGGGCTGCACACTCAAACTGAAAATTCGACCTGACAAGTACAACACAATGGTTTAACCAAGAAATCTATTTTGTTTAAAATCCGGGCCAGTTACCGTATGTTGTGAAGCAACTGTACTATAGCAAAGAATGATTGCATGAATATGTAGTGGGTTACTGACGATATTGAGATTTTCATTTTAATTTTTTTGTTAAACTGAGGAGGATACTACATTCCTAAACTGAATTATAAACCATTGACTACAAACAGTTGCATGGACTTTTGTACTTTGGAAAAAAAATTTTTTTTCTAACCAGAGTATCATAACATTAATAAATTAGTAATTCTAAGTGGAAAAAAAAAACAAAAAAACTAATGTAGATTTGAGCCTTTGTTTAACCTTTTCATTACTGAAATACATGGGTAAGGCTTGCCTGCTCCTATTGTTGTAGAAAAATGCATGGGAAATAGGATTGTATGTTTAGTGCACATATAACCCACTCAGCAGGGATCATCGCAGTAGCTGTTTTTTCTTGGGTGACATGAGGCTATAAATGAACAAGTCAAAAGTGTGATTTCTACAAAATAAATTCAAATGCTAAAAACCAACATAAACAGAGCAAAATACCTTGGGCAAGTGAATAGTATGATAAATCCACTGATTATCTTTTTTTTTTTTTTTTTTTAAAGGGACACTAAAGCAGAGAGTACGAGAAATGAAAAGGGAAAATGACGCAAAGGTGCAAAAAACGCGAATGGGGTTTATTCGCTAAACTCCGAATTGTAAAGAATAGAAATTAAAATGGCAAAAGGAGGTTAAAATAGCTCATCTCAAAAAAATTTGCAGACTTAGCTATATTTACAGCTCGGCTGTTCGTGTCTAAATTTTGCTATTTCGGAATTTAATTTGCTACAATTCAAAGTTTAGTTAATAAATCCCAGAGAAAGAGTGCGTATAGGATTGTAAGAGGGATTTAGGGAGGGAGAGATGGGGAGCACAGCAACGAGCACGCGTGAGAAGCGCCAAGTTGAGAGATGATTTGATACATTAAAAATAGGCAACAGATACACAGTAACTGCTATCAATTTTGGCAGATACAACAAGGGAAAACACGAGTCCTTTTGATATCAGACTAGCTGCATGCTTCCAGCTGTAGGATTTTAAAACATAACATATTGCAAATTCACATACAAATAAAAATTCAGATTTCTAGATTTCCGCCTGCTCCCAGCATTGTCTATCATTCTTAAAGGAGAATTCAGTGACCTGTGCCGTGTTAAACTACATTCGTCTTTTAAATTGAAAGAAAGAACCCAGACTCTTAGATATGTGTTCACTAAACTGCGATACGTGGAAGAACTCCACGTAAATAAATTACAATTTGAGTTTGAGAATTTTTCCTCGTCACCTTTTATGGCCTACAATTGAAATAAACCTCATTAGCACAAATGCATCTGTGTGTCTCTGTAAACATGTATCTCTTGTGTATCTGCCTGTGATTCTGTCTATATGTCTGGCTGTGTCTGTTGATGTGTATATCAGCCTTCCTGTCCTGGCATCTTTCTGTCTGTGCGTGTGCGTACCTACCTGTTTGCCTGTGCACACATCTATGTGTATCTGTCTGTCTGCATGTGCATGTGTCTTTCTATCTGTGCATTTGTCTGTCTGTGTGGGCATTTGTACACGTATGTATTTGTTGGTCAGTGTGTGAATGTATCCACAAGTCGATGCTTATTTGTATTTGTCTCCCTGCCAGTGCATGCGTCTGTCTGTCTGTGCATGCGTCTTTGTGTCTGTGCATGTGGGCTGGTAGCCTTAGCATTTTTGGAATGGAGAACAGATGGATATAACAAGCATCTGTTTGCAATTGCCTTTCATAGATGTGGACTCCTTTCAGTTGGACATTAATCATTCTCAACAGCAGCAATTAGATATTTGAGATGTATAAGAACAAATCAAGTTAAACCAAAATAAAAATAAAAAAAATAAATGCACCGGACTGAAATGAAAACGAGGTAAGGGTTCCGTAACTGTGGCCTCTTAAACAAACACTCCAGACAAACATGGTTGTTCACTAGACTCAAAATTGCAAAGATTTGACAAGGGACCTCTTAAAGTAGAAACATTCTCAAATGTATGTTTTAAAGTTGTCCCATCGCAAGATCTGGCTTAACCGAATCACACTTTAGCAATGTCAAAGCCCCCCTTACAGTCTAGCCGTGGTGGATACATGTTCAACTCTATGGTTTGCCATTTTTCTGTGTGATCTGCCATGGTTGGCAGCTGATGGATAAATACCAATGAATCCATATGTTGTCCTATTAATGCACTGATGTTGGCAGCCTTGGAAATAATTTCACAAAAGAATTGGTCAGACTCACAATGAGTAATTCTGGTCAGCACTTTGTTTTTGGCAACAAAACACACAGCAATGCAGTTCACTAGAAGATGCTCCAGCAGTAAGTTTCAATCTGTCAAATGAATCTAGGATCTAATACTCAGTTATCAAGCAGATTGATCTGGAGGGAGGCAGAGCTCTTCTGCCAAAAGTAAAAAACCATAGCCAAATATTCCGTCCTGATGCCCAATTCTGTGTCTTTCTCAAGTATCCTTTGAAATGGGCATAAGGATGTGTTGTTCTGCTTGACATTTTCTTGAGACATGACTCTAGGCCTTACTGTCATCCTCAATGCTTTAGGTGTTACCACTTGTAACATTATAGATCCATTGTATTAAATCAAGCTTTTAATAAACATAATTTAAACACCAAATAACATGCATTGTTTCTCTGGCCTGATGCAATTATTCCATATTTTTGTAACACAAAAATAAGAATATATATTACTAGTTTATTTACAAAAGAAAAGCTGGACAACATTGTTACTGATACGGGAAACTCAAAGGTGGACTATGAAAGATCAATGGGTGATTAATATAAGAAAGACAATCATATAGCATTCTGGAAGGTCAGGGTCCACAGACAGTCTACTGCAATCACACGCATGGTCTTTCCTTGGGCAACCTTGGACTAGCAAAATGACTAGTTTATTTATATCTGAATCTCCTATCTCTGGGAATTATGTCATAGATAAGGAACTGTGATAGTCAACAACATGATAGTGATTTCAATTACACAATGAGAAGGCTTCTTCTGATACACTGGAAGACAATCAAAGAAGTTGTAATTCAACCACAGATGGACGAAGAATCAGACGATCACGGATGGTCAGAAAATGTCAAAACTTATCTATATGATATAGGCCATAAGGCAGCCTTTCCTGGTATTCAGAACTGCATTGCCCATGATGCTTTGTGAGGATAAGATAAGTAGTCAATATGTAGCTCTGTACAAATATGACTCCCATCACTCTGGGCTGTAAGAGCATAATGAGAGTCGTCATTCTATGCGAGATTGATAGCTATCTATTTGCTATCTCTGATCTATAGCTGAATGGATCGCTGAACTGGTGAAAGCCTTGCCTGCATTATAAATCATAGATCTGGCGAAGCGGTGATTGGCAGAGAGCACAATTTTAACGAATATTCATCCGGCAAGCTTTCTGAAATTACTGTATTCCTTTCCATTGATCTGCATCTTCTTCTAATTTTATCTATTCCGAGCAGCCAAGGATAAAAAAAAAACATGTTTGCGTAAAAGATGAAGCAATGCTAAGATAATGTGCCCCCCCACCATTCGGCCACATTTGTCGCTAGCAAGCCATTAAGCCATAATTATTTTTTAATTAAAACTTGGGAGATTGACATGTGCAAGTCTATTTAACACATCTGTAATTGGTTAAAATAGCTTAAACCCCCACACTCCCCTCTTGTTTTTTATTATTTAAAGAGAGAGAAAAGAAAATGTCTTGTTTATTTATTTTGTTTTTGCAGCCTCCCCCTCCCACCCACTATCCCCCGTCTCCCCCCGCAAAAAAACAAGAATTTTCTCCTTATTTTTTCTTTTTTATTTGTGGGGCGCAGCAGTGCGTATGTGCGCCTGGATGGATCTGACTGGCCGTGAAAAGAATTCTAAATAAAACACAAACATGAAATTTGGCAACGCCACAGAAGCAAGCTTAAGACTAATTTCAACATGAAGACGGCTCTCGCACAGTAAGGCTGGCTCCAGTATAAATGAAACCAGGCACAGATAGATTGCCAGTAAACTTTACGTTAAAGCGACAATGTCCCTATTCTACTGCAATGGTAGTTACACAGTAATTCCCTTTGCAAACAGGAGCATCTGCTGTAAAAGCCAACATAAGCCCGATATTTAAATGGTATTAATCTATGGCGTGCTGAAAAGAATTTGCTTACAGCTTAATGGTGAAGTGATATAGCGCAATGTGCATGGCCTAAAAGAAATCTATAAAGTGATTTCTGAGCAACACATTATGATAAGTAGATCAGCAGGGAACAATTTACACTCACCTGACCACAAGTTACAAACAAACAAATGAAAAATCTAGTTTAAGGTTGACATGACGGAAATATTCCAGAAATTGTGTCCTTAACGGGTTAAAGGAAATTAGGACATTCATATTTATAATTATATGTGTAATTTATACATTTTATATATTATGTTTTTTCAAAAATAAAATTTGGATGGAAAAGTTCTAAACAAGAACTTTTACAACTTTGCATACCTCCCAACATTCCAGACAGACTAGGCCAGAGGAGATGCTGTTCTAAGAAATTTTAGGTGACTTACTAAAAAACAAATTTACACTGATTTCTAAATAAAATATTGTATTTTAAAGACACATTACTGTGGGTATTATTGCTTTGGAGATACTGTTTTTAAGCTTCCCCAGTGAGACTGAACTTTTTTAAACTCTCAGCAGCCAAAAGTGTAACTACACCTCCGGCAGTGTCATTGGCGCGTCATTAACCAGCCCAGAAGTCTAATGTCAATTCTGTGCAAATTTTTTTGAACAGTGTGCCATTCATTGGCTGAGAGTGGTCAGCTGCCGCTCTCAGCCAACGAATGAAGACTGGTTCAACTTTCGGCTTCTACACCTCTGCAGAAACCAGAAGTGTATCAGCTGATGAGGAGCCGTGGAGCCTGGCAGGAACCCAGGTAGGAGGGCATTGTTTAATGGTTTGGCCCATTACCAGGCAACCAGGAAAGGGTACTCTGGGCTGTAGTGGTTATGAAGCTTGGAGTAACCCTTTAATATTGTTTCTAAATCGTTCTGCACTTGAGTTTCCACTACTTTGCAGTGGTAAAACACTTAACATCATATAAGAACATGCACTTTTCCCCCACCTGCAAATAATTTTCTTATTAATGCCCAACAAAGGTTTATAAGAAATAAAAAGATGTATGCACAAGCTGATAGAGAGCTGCTCTGTGGTTCTCATTTACTAAACAAAAAAAAGAATAACATATTATTTTTTTTGCGAATGAATGGAAACTATGGCACAGTTGATTATTTTGTAATTGAACAGAAATCAAAATTCAGGCCTCTACAGGTGTTTGGACTGAAGGATCTTAATCTGGCCTGGGCCAAAGTTTCCTCGAAAATGAAACCTGAGATTTCACCCGGCCCTACCCAAGGATGACAAGGACTCAGTTTCATGCTTCTCTGTCTGAAGCTTTAGTCAATGCACACACTGAGGGAGACAACAGTTTTTCTCACTGCTATGTCACAAGAGATGTTAAATATGACAGTGCTTGGGGAGTCCCACCAAAACAATACTTTGGGAGGCAGGTAACAAAAAAAAAGCCTAGAAAAATAATCACAGACAGTCACTCTATTTGCTTTTATATCTTGCAATGCAATAAAAAATAGCCTTTTATCCTGATCCGAGAAGCCTGGAAAATCATTGTGGCGGATGCAATGGGAATAGACAAGGAGAAAATTACTCAGGGCTTCGCTTCAACATGAAATTAAAAAATGACGCTTCTCTCTCACAGGTCTGAATGATTTCTCCAGAGGTCTGGATAATGCAAAGCCACAAATATCAAGCCATCCAAAAAAAAGGAAAAAAAAAACTATGCAGCTACATAGAAATATGTATAAACATACATATATACATATATATACACATTTATCTAACTGTTACTTACGTAGCGCCATCGTATTTCTTGGCGGTGTACATTGAAAATATAAAAAACACTACAAACACTTTAGGGTGGACGGACGTGAGAACTGATTGGGGAATTACAAATTTTAGACAGAACGAGCCAAGCTGGAAAAATATTTTTTTCCAAAGTGGTCATTTTGATCTATAATTTGTAATTCTCTTGTCAATTCTTCAAATCCCATTTAAGTGCATAAGCCACATAATGAAACTGCTAATATTCATTTGAATTCTTCGACATTGAGGTGGAGGACTTAAAATGATAAGTCGATACCAAAAATAAAGAGGAAATTAATAATGTTCTGTTGGTATAGAAATAAGTAGTACTTTGGCAGTAGATGCGCAGCACTATGCGTAATCCCTCACCAATCCCCATAGACCGCGCTGATTACTGCAGTTTCTTCTAACATGATCTAAGCCTAATGGAAGAGATTGGAAACACAGGTCAGTGATGGTTAGCCGAGTCATTGTAGCTGTTAATAAATTAGTTTTCTGCTGTAATCAGCCAAATAAACAGATTATGGGAAATATAGTCTGCAATAGCTGGTTAGACATCACTGAAAATTCCCAATAGTGACACAAATAATAGTGTTAGCAACACTTACACTGCACAAACAGCGCAGCAAAGCTGTTCAATGCTCTACCTTTGGAACATAGAGACAAGGTATAAGGTATAGCACAGGTAAAATAAATTTTGCTTGGTCATACTATGAATTGCAGTCCATGGCAGCTAGAGTATCAGTGGCTGTCTATACTGGCTCACAGCCAAGAGAGTTTTATTAGCACCGATGCCGTTGGACTCTAGGAGAGTTCTAATAAATGTATTATTATTATAGGACTTGGCTGCTAAATATTTGCTGCTGTTTGATGAATTTTAGAGAAATCTGGTAATGAAAATTGCAAAAAAACACACACAAAAAAAACACCCAACCTGACTTGAAATCAGGGCTACATTCTCATTGGCTGGTAAGTTTCCAACCAATCAGAATCCAGCTTGAATTGAAATACACAGATAAGAGGGCACAAATAGCAGGCCCTGTCTGCTTTAAAATAGCGCCATAACATATTGACCTTCTCTAAATATGCTTATTTTGAAGAAACAATACTTAAAATGAAGAATCACTGTCACTTCGACCTAGAAACAACATGATTGACAAAGGTTCCTGAACTAGCTCTATTCTTTGAAAATATTTCTGAAAATCATTTCACACAACAGACCAGGATCCAGGAGGGTATTTCCGATTTTGAACCCCATGTCCAGCTGTCTAGCCGATTTTTCCCAAATAGTGCATTAAAGTCAACATAACCAGTACAGGGGCCTTTGAAAGTCATGTTGCTTAGAGTGTCTGTTTATCCACACTGCATTGTGCAACGCCATTGCAGAACATTCTTTCACATGTGCAATATGGGGTTAACTAGCCAACAGGAAAGCCTGTCATTAATACAAGCCTACCTCCCCGTTTTTTTTTTTTAATCATTGACGAACACCGCATCATTACTGCACCCCAATTTCTATTTCATTTTCCTCTCAACGGTTTTATAGCTCTCGATTTTAGATGATGAGAGTTCCTTCACAAGTTCTAAAGAGAACCCTTATACCTAAATTACGCTCAGCACCAATAACGAGGATTCCTTCCATTCTGAGATTCAGATTTTAAAACAAATGCATCATGTTGTGCAAGTGACTATATTTACTAATCTGCTCTCCACCAAATGCATAACTTACATTAGGATGCATTATTATTTCAGAATTATTATGATAGGATTTCTTTTGACGTCAAACAATGTTTAACAACTTTGTCCAGGCAGAAAAGAGTTACATTAAAAAAATTTGAATTAAATACTCAAAGTATAATAGTCTCCACTCTTTTTTTGTTTTAGTGCTTTCTCGGGCCTGTTTATTCTCCAATGGCTTTTGGAGTTTTAACCAGTGCGTCTGAATTAGTGATCCATTTAGCTCATTCACCCCTCCAGGCAGGAGTGCGATTACACACCCAATGAGGTAGTACGCTCAAAAAAAAAAAAAAGAATAAACCTGCAGGAGTAGGATTTGATTAGTGAAGTCATGTGTCATGCTCGAGCGCACTAAATATCTGTATTCATTACAAGCAACAGCCTACAAACACATAGTCCCCTCGTGCTGCAAAACTTTTGTGCATTGGTTTTGCTTGCTCTACAGCATCAAAAGAGTCATTTAGTAGCCTCAGAAGCAGTATAAAGACATTTGCCAATGACACAAGCCTGCAACAGCTCTTGGAAGAAAAGACAGAGAGCAATATGAATTTCCTGTATTGAACAGATGGCCCAAAGCGTATGTAGTTTACAGTAAGAGAAAAACCTCAGAAGAAGAAAAAAAACATACACACATTGTAATTATCAGTTTTCGGTGCAGAGATAAGAAAACGTTTTGGTCAAATAACTGTAGAAAAAAAACCACACAAATAATAAAAAAATGTAAAAAAGATACAAATTACTGCTCACCTGGCTGGAACTGTGAAAAACTGACTATGGACTTTCAAATTTTAGTCCAACATATAACATATGTAAAAGTTGCTGGATCTCTCCAAATTAACAGTTTTGATTTAAAGGGTTACTCCAAGCACCATCACTACTACAGATGAAGCCAGGAGTACCCTGTCCCGTTTCCCCAGTAATGGAGCAATCCGTTTAGCTATGATTCGTCCCCTTATCTGAGTCCCTGCTGGGCTTCTATGCTCCCTAGTGGGCTAGTGATCTGCAGAAGCCGGGAGCCGTGGACAGGCGTCAGGCATTCGCTATCTGAGAGTGTCACCTGACCGCTCCCAGCCAATGACTGTTTAGTTGTAGCTGTGTAGTTGTACAGAAGAGACATTAGCCAATTAACTCTAGTTCTGGGCTGGCTGATGACAGACACCCCTATGACACTGGCAGCAGAAACGCTGCATGTACACACTCCAGGAACCATAACCATTTCAAATCACTGAAGTAGGTATGGTCTTTGGGAGTAACCCTTATAAATTCCATTACACTTGTAATTCCTTCAACATTGCTCTAAACTTCATATTATGGACCATTGCAAATGCACTTGGAATATTCACTTGATTCTGAGTGTGTACGTTAAGACAGGGTAACCTCCATCGTTGGTTCAACTAAGGACATGCAAAAAAAATCTGAAATTGGTCTATGTTGGGCAACACAACTTCAGAGTGAATTTTATATTCTCCTCATTACATTAGAGAAATGAACATTTTTGTAAGTGCATTTAAATTAACTTGCTGTGACAGGACAATTTCATAGAAAAAAATAATAATTTTTCTTTTTGTGGACTATTCAGGTCAGTGGGCGCAGATTAAAGGACTGTCTGGAATCAATAATACATCTTTTGGGCTATGTAAATTCACACAGCTCCCATAGGACTCCTGTCCTCGTTTCGCATTAACGGGGGAAGGAATTTGGGCAAAGGAGAGAGATATGCCCACCTGCCTTTCAGTCACATGACTGCCTAGATGTAAAATAAAATATCCAGAATTACTCGCTCACCCCACTTCTTGCAGAAATGCAGAATTTGTGTACGGTTTAACCGTTCTAACAAAGAAATAAACCCAAGTGAAATTTGCTGGCTGTGATCCAACAATAAGAAGCAGTATGGGCGATTTGCTGCTACTGAAACGTGTCTTAATTTTAACATTTTTTTTATTTTGTTTAGTAGGAAACAAATCCTTTTAAATTGCAATCACATAGTGTATAAACAGTGAGGACCCATGAAGGGCGCTTTAATTTTACTGTAATTTTTTTTTCTTCATTTTTTGCTTAATTTAATTGCTTCATTTAGTAGCATATGTCATAGATTGTCACTTACAAGGCAAACCCCTCCCGTCCGCAGCATTGAAAGAGGACAGAACTGAGCCTCAAAAACTGTCAAGAGAATTGCAATTTTTAGGCCAAAGTATCCAATATGGAAACATTCTCCAAATCAGATTGTCTTAGATCATCTATTTTGGCCTATAATTTACAATTCACTTGTCAATTCTTCGCTATGCTTATTTTAACTGATAAACTTTCTCTTCTTAATGCTTGGAGGTTACTCCACCACATTTAAAAAAAAAAACAAATCCCAAACACTTACTTATCTGTTTATTTTATTTTGTTTTTGTTTTTATAGCAATGGACAATGTCAGATCTCCACATCCAGTACTTTAACGAACTGCATACAGCATTGCATTAAAAATTAATTACACATGGTATTTTATTGATAGTGCATAATGTAATGAGCACCAGCTGTGCTAAATATCCAAGCTCCTTCTTAAGGCTGCTATAAAAAAAAGAAATAAATAAATAGAAGAGTGGAGTGGAGTGCGGTGAGAGAGGAAGGGAGGGATAGAGAGTAAATTAGAGAGAGTGAGAGTGTGTGGGACACATAGCATGAGAGAGAGAGAATGGGAACTAGGAAAGGGGAAGAGAGGAGAATGAAAGGAAGAAATAAAGATGTAATAGGGAGAGAGAAGAGAGAGAGGGATAAAACGAGGGAGAGAAGGAGGGTGGAGGGAGACATTCATCCAAAAGAGTGTCAGTAGAGGAAAACAGTAACATCTTGTATGGATTTTAGAAATAAGAGTCTTTGATTTCGCCCACTGTTTGGGCCACGTGAATGATACAGTCTGCGGGACGCGGGCTGGAGAAAACGGATTTGATTAACCCTATAAGCTCTAGCATTACATGCCAACAGGTGAAGTTTGAAATACCAGCCAGTTTTGCTCACTGTGATGTCATCAGAAACTAGATCACAAGGACATGATAAAGGACTCACGGCCAAAATGTCTTTGTTTTGTCTTTTGGACCATAACAAAATATACCTGACTCTTCACCCTGCACCGTGTAGCCTGTGGCTCTTTACTTCTAGACCACAGGGATCGTCTGACAGTATGACTGTGATGATAGCGTGAATAGTCATTGGGTTTTCAAAGGTTAATAAAGGTATGACTGAAACAGATTTACAAAAAAATAAAAATAAAGGTATGACTGAATTAAATGCATACAGCAGTGTCCCGGTGCAGCTGGACACTGGTTGGTATTTAGTTAATGGATGGATGGATAGATGATAGATACAAAGATAGATGGATAGATAGATAGATAGATGCCTGAGCTATTATGGACCTCAGCTCTATATGATACAAGCGGACTATCACTTTTCCAAAAACCACACCATTGGATAAAACATTGAAAATCCCCAATAACTTTTGTTAGCATTGTTTGCTGTGACTCTACATTTGCTCTTATATTTATATTAAAGCAACAGAAGCCAAATTTACTGTACACTGATAAAAACATGGCCCAAAAAGAGGATTACTAGCAACAACAAAAAAAGGAAAAAAAAGGGTGGGAAATCTTGTGGCATGGCATGGCCTCCAGTAAATTGTTTAGGGTTTAATGAACTAAAATTCCAGATTTCAGACCTATGCATACCTATACCTGGGATATTCTGAAAAGATATCAAATGCATGACTGAAACTCTGTAACCATGAAAATAAACATGGCGGCAACAAGCCTGCTCATTTACAATTACCCTCTCTGCAACACTTTATGGTTGTAGATAGAGCGATGGCTGTGGGCAAAGAGGACTGCAAGTGAGCAATTTTCAATTTGGGTATTTAGATCCATGAAAATGATATGGTAAAAAAGAACATCTCCTGGCATTTTGGAGACATCAGGACAGCTCACATTAAATTAATCACTGAAAACATCAGACGATGCCATGCTGATATCTTGCTTTAATGGTTTGTTTGGGTACAGTCATTTTCGCATCTTGCTTCTGTTTTCTTACATTTGTTTGTCAACTATTTGCTGTTTTCTTACTCCATTAAAAAAAATGTAAAGCGCCGCAGAATAGGTCGGCACTATATAAAAGAATTGTATCATGGAAAACAATATATCAGCACAAATTAAGGTAATACAAAATAGCCAATCATTGACACTTTCTCAAACTAATTCATTTAATCTTCAGAAGAGCATTTCTCATTTCTAGTCCAATAGGGATACTGACAAAAACTGACGTGGCTGGAGGACTGGTTGGGGACCACTGGACTAAAGAGAGGGTAAATCTGTAAAATAAAGGCAAGGCACGTAGAGATGAGCAAACAGGGAAATGGCTAAGTACAAACCTAAATAACTCTTCAGACAACAGAAAAATATCACTGATGCTCCTTAATTAGTGAACAGATACATACAGGGTTATTCAGTAAAATGAACAGTGATTTCAACGTGAATTTCACAGTTAAGGTCAAAATAATAAAAATAGAACAATTCTATAAGCCAGATATGCCTTTAGTTTGGCTACTCTAAAGCCTAGAGAAATTCACTTTGAATCCCTGTTGAATTCTCACATTAGTAAATATCCCTTTTACGGCTTTATTTACTACACTAAATTATATGACATTAAAATGAGAATTACAACATTCAAGCAAAAGTAGTCAAGATTAAGCTATTTTAATTTCGTACTATTAAGCATTTAGCGAATAACCCTGTTTACGTCAATACAAATATCAGCAGGCTGGTATGCTGGTAAAATTAGCTCTTTAAATATTGTCGAACTGTCTCATCATCCTTCACCAGTCTTTGCCTACCCAAAGTCTGTCTCTGGATTATAGGGCTTGTAATTCAGCAACATGTGTTGGCGACCCTGATATTTAAAGACGCAGGCACCACTAGGAAAGGAAAAGCGAATAGGCACCCTGCTGGGTTTTTTGGGCTGTGTATCCTGAGATAAGGAAGGGTTAAGCAGGTTTAGCTTATTTTCCAGGAGAAGATAATGTTTCTTTCAGACACAAGTTGGCCAAACTCTGTCAGAAACACTTAGCACATGCTTTGATATACCCTATTCTCTAAGTGCTGTAGACTGCAGCAGTAATTATGGGAAGCTATGATAACAAGTCAATTTCTCCGCAAAGCTGGCACCGATATTCTGCCAAGAGATCACTCGAGAACTAACAGCACAAAACCCGGGAATTACAACAAAACGGGTGGAAAACAGAACCTGTTTTTTTTTTTGTAAACGCATCTTTGAGGAATCCTTGCTTTTATTATTACACAATGGAATATTTACTAAACTAGGAAATGAGGAAAAATGAAGAAAAAAAAATCCCAAATGTTAGACCGAAATAGTATAGATAAAATAACTTCAAATAGCTCTGAAACAGCTGAACTTGTGGATTTTCTCCTTTTTGTTCTAAAATATGCTGTTCCTTTCCCTGTAGTGATGCACGGTAATCTTTCAAGTGGGTGATAATTACATTATTTAGGACAAGTAAGATGTGCAAGTCACACGATTGTTGCCATTAACCTCTTTGTGAACATTTATTTTTCTCAATCTTGGTTCTGTGATGTAGGGAGGCCGAAATGTGAAGCTGAGGGACAAACAGGCCCCAGATTTTCAGACTAAACAATCAGTTCTCCTACATAGATGGCCACAAAACAGAACTATAAATCTATACATAGAAGCATTTTACATGCAACGTCTACTCTAAACCTGGCTAAACAGCAACCTCTACCCTCTCCCCACCCTCACCCATGTTAGTTTCTTTGTGTTGGTCCCCAGTATCACCTAGGGCCCCATTTCTATCAGATAAGCAATGTTTGGGTTGAAATTGGTAGGAGCCTGGGGCTGCTCTGTCAATGGCCCCATTTGTTTTCTGAAGCAAGAGTTTATTGGAGTCTGCGAGTTGCACAGGACAGAGTCCAGATTCCTGCTGCTCAGCACCCACTAAAACGTTCTCACACCTCACCACACCCATCCGCAACACCCAAAAACACAAGCACTTGACACCAGTCCAAATCTTTCACAAGATCAGTCTGGTGATGTTTGTAAGTTTATCTTGTGTTCCTGGAACAGATTTTTGTGAAAAACAAACATGACGAGAAAGAATAAAAGTACCTCGCTCAAAATCCATGACTTTGTCAATTTTGTTATTTTGGTTAATATGAAAGGAAAACAGCCCGATGTCACTCAGTTGCACAAAAAAATTCAAGCCAAAGTTTATACCTCTCAACATTGGAAGGTATGAAATCTGAAGTTGGAGCTGGTAATGCATGTCAGGCAAAAAAAGGACCAGCCATAATGATGCACCTATGGTGACTTTTTTAATGAAATTTCATTGGTGTAATCAAAGATGAGAGATCAGAGAAATAATTCCCTTGGATGGCAGGACAGTAGCAATAAATCAGGAATGTCCTACAAAAGCACTTCGGTGGTATGCACATAATACTCAAAAAACAAAACACACCGACTTGCCAATTTTGCCCTAAACAGTACGATTTGGCTGTCAACGCACCACAACTCCCTGTTTAGTCAATAAATCCCATTTAAATGTCAGGTGGAAGCATGCCAACCTTGGCAATAACATAGCTGGGCATTTTCTTTTTCAAACTGCAGTGCATTAGCCTTTAGCACTTAAAAAAGGTTAAGTTATAAAAAAAAAACAGCGAGGGCGGTAATTGTAATAATAATAGCAGGAAATAAATGTTAGAAGGTCCTAAAACAGTATTTTTGAGAAATAATGGAAGGAAACAAGAAATGCACAAAAATTCTGAAGACACAGACAGTGATGTCTTATTATATTGTGTTGAAGAAAAGCATTAAAATATGTATCATAAACATTACAGATATTGAAATTCCAGTAATTCTTTATGTGTCCTATAATGCCCGAGCATTCAAACCGCTAGCTGAGTATCATAAGACACAATGCGCACCGCAGCCGGACAGCAAAGCGTTTTCCGCTAGTGCTCACAGTCATTCCATCACAGTAGTACTTTCATTTTTATTTTTATTTTTAAATCCATAGCATGTTCCATAAGAGATTAGGGACAAAAAAACAAAACAAAACACAGAGAGCTACATGTAAGTCAGAGGCTATTCGGCTGAATTAATGAAAAGACCCAATACATACAAATTTGAGAACTGTGCATATTATGCAAAAATACAGATGTGGTGTATTGACAATTTTGGTAAATGCCACACAGTCTCCTGATTTTTGTTCTGTGCAAACATATCCCAAGTGGGGCTACAAAGTGCAAAGACGTAATATTCAAAAAGTTGGTTGACATTTACAATTTGAAACAAACTGCTTACAAATGCTTTTTAGCCAATCATCAGTTGGCATGTTAATGCTATCCAGCAAATATGCAACCATAGGCTTGATGGGGGCCTTCCAAACAACTCAAATGTTAGAATACATTTGTAAAGCATTTGGTAGCAGAATAAGTTTTAAGTGAGGGGTGACCAAAGAAGAGATCTTAAAAATGTTTCTAAAAGCTGGCAAAGCATCATGGTAGTTGACAACATTATCAACATTTGGACACTTCTGTTTTCAGCTATACATATGCTGACAATTTCATCAGCACAATATATAGATTACTAGTATACTCCCAACATTTCAAATTGGCAAAGAGGGACACTTTTATTTCAGGGCCATGACTAGGGGGGTGGCCAGGGCATTTTAAATTGCTTACTAAGAACAATTTAATCAACACAAATGCAATTTAGAACAATAACAATGCAATATATATATAGTAGTTTAAAGACACATGAATGTGAATATTATTGCTCTGGAGCTCTGTTATACACAAACAATATGGAGCTACTAAAAAAAGAAGGATATTAGGATACAGAATTTGGTCTCAAATTGGGTACTGGCCCTCGTAAGTGGAGACAGTTGGAAGGTATGTACCTAACTGTTGGTTTCCTTGTCATCTTCCCATTCTTAGAATGCCCATTTTAAGTTGGATTATCTCTACAGCTGGACAGTTGGTGGCCATTGTAGACTAGTTTTGGGTGTTGTTGCTAGATGTAACTGTGCAAGCAGGCAGGCCAGAGGTACTGTTATTTCTTTTTTTTCATGCCTTTCAGCTGTACTGTGTTCTTCATCATAATACCATCAGAAGAACAAACAGCCATATGCAAGGTTGAAATGGATTTAGAAAATGGCTACCACTGTGCAAAGTTCAGTAAGGACATAAGGAGTGACAGCTTTACAACAGTCCCGCAGATGTTCACAATGTTGGGCTTTTTTCTATGAAGATTTACGGGGTGGGTCTTAGCTCCTGTTAACTTCTCAGATGCCAAAGATACATCTAGTTTTGGTGCACGTTGATGGCTACATACTCATGTGAACACTTTTTTTTTTTTTTTAGAAGACCTCAGCTATTCTTTCATTTTGCCAAAAATGACAGTGAAATTCAGAAGTTGGGGTGGAAACAATTCTGCAGTCTTAGCTGATCTGACAACACTGCTTGTGTCTGCACCAGAAATACTTCATCTTTGGCAAACAATCCAGCACTTAGCTCGGAAAGGGCTGCATTTGATTTTGTCATTTATCTGAAATGGCGAGCAGACCACCAGTGCAAAACATTTGTGTGAAGCTGCTGCCAAAACCACAAGTGAGGAATTGAAATTCCCAGTGTAAATACTGCTGCTCTAAGTATCAGGAATAAAAATTTTACACTAAGTGCTCTTTTGTGAGGTCTTCAAGGAAAGTTTATCAACAAGCTCATTTCCTGTCATCAACCGATATGGTGATCAGCTTTCCTAATCTAACACATTATGGTACATACAACACAATAAACACAAACCAAGGACAGTCCTTCTTAATCTGACATATTAAAGGACCACTATAGTGCCAGGAAAACATACTCGTTTTCCTGGCACTATAGTGCCCTGAGGGTGCCCCCACCCTCAGGGACCCCCTCCCGCCCGGCTCTGGAAGGGGAAAGGGGTAAAAACTTACCTTTTTCCAGCGCTGGGCGGAGAGCTCTCCTCCTCCTCCTCCTCCTCCTCCCCCGTCGGCTGAATGCGCACGCGCGGCAAGAGCTGCGCGCGCATTCAGCCCGTCGCATAGGAAAGCATTTACAATGCTTTCCTATGGACGCTTGCGTGCTCTCACCGTGAAAATCACAGTGAGAAGCACGCAAGCGCCTCTAGTGGCTGTCAATGAGACAGCCACTAGAGGATTAGGGGGAAGGCTTAACCCATTCATAAACATAGCAGTTTCTCTGAAACTGCTATGTTTATAAAAAAATGGGTTAACCCTAGCTGGACCTGGCACCCAGACCACTTCATTAAGCTGAAGTGGTCTGGGTGCCTACAGTGGTCCTTTAAGGTCTATATCTAACACCTTAAACAAGGACAATTCTTCTTAACTTGGCATATTAGGATCCATATAACATCATAAATACCAAACGAGACCAGTCCATCTTAATATAACACATCAAAGTTGCATCTCACCCATTAGATCAAAAACCATGATGTTGATTATAACTGTGCCACTCTAACAAATAGTGAATACAAATGTGCGTGGTAAATGTCACTTGCCCAATTTAGTGAGTTTAAAGAACCCATTACATTTAAGATATGGTCAGCTCATTGCTACAATCTTTAGAATTTGTAAATAAATGTGCCCAGTTAGCGCTAAACAGAAAAAATGTATTTTATTTCTTCTCTTTTCTTATACTTTGTTTATATCTCTGGAAATGAACATTAGGGTTTGCATAATTTTAACAGACAAAGCAAGATACTGTATAGAATTTTTGACTTGAAAACAAGGAAAGACACAATAAACTGCCTATGACCCATTACGATATCCTAACCTTGAAGGAAGTGATTATATGAGCCCTCAACAATTCACGGGCAGTAGCTTTGCTGTAGACGTATCCAGATGTACACTGAGAAAGGAACATAAAAGTGTTTGGCATCAGAGGTGAAATAGCTAACAGCGGCTGTAGATGTCGTATTCCAGTTGTGAATTAAAGAGGTCAGTAAGAGTGATGCGTTGGGGTAAACGCCGAAAGTAGGCAGAATGAGAGCATAAAGGAATCCTGCTATGAAACTGAAGCTAGTTTTACTGCAAAGGCAACCGTTATCTGGATATAGCTCTGTCTGATTGCTAATGGGTGTAACATATGCAACCTTCCATTATGTATACTCATATATGGATAAAATTATCGTATCCTTAATTATCCATACGTTGTCTAGGGGCGCAAACATTTGCAGATTGGCATATCACCCTCTAATTTTTTAAAAATTTTAAGAAAGCCTCTTGTTGCAGAATCCTTAGACTGAAGAAACAAAATAAAACCAGCTACCATTGCTTCTCCAACTACCAGAGATAAAATCTTAGAAGTCTTCATATCGAGAGGTCGCAAGTTTATCCCAGCAGGAGAATGTTGCTTTTGGATAAGACATGGCTTAACAAAGCTCAACGTATAAAGAACCCTACTATCACAGCGGGATTGAGTTTCTTCAATTTGATTGTCAACTCAACACAACGCACTTTTTAATGAAAAAAACACCTATGTTAAAGCCAAACTAATTTTCTGTTTGCACCTGCTACATTTGCCCAAGAAAAAAAGATTTGATATAGGCCCAGATAGATATAGGACCATTTTTGAAAAAAAAAAAAAAGAGATTAAAAAAAAAAAAAACTCATCAAAGTTTGTATATGTTGTACCTTGTAGATCTTCACTCTGCAATCCTTAATTAACAAGTCGAGCATTCTTCTAGAAGTTTCACTATATGAGCAAAATATATATATTTTATCGTTCTATGATTTTAGAATACTACACCCCCTTTTGCAGTTTACGCTTGCACAGAAAGGGTTACAAGGGGGATTGTCACTAAAGATATTGCAGACTGAATCCTACCCCATCCCCCCAATGCCAAGACATTAATTCTCACAAGTCGGAGAAAATTACTATGCATGAATGCAAAAGGCATGATCAGGAGTAATTAACACGGCTTCATATGCAAATTTTATTAATGCAGAAGTACAAAGTCATTATGCAAATGAAACTTACGTCAACTCTCTTGACAAATATTCTTCTCCAAAGCTCAAGTTTTCCCCCCTCCTCCTTATATCATTTTTTGTTTATATTTTGCTTGTATTTTTTTTTGTTTCCAATTTTTTTATTTTTTTATTATCCGAATGGCTGTTTGACAAGTTAAGAAAGTAGTTATTGTTTTTATTTTCTTCGCCAAAGACATTTATTGTAGATCTGTTGATATTATGTATATATATATATTTTGGTTTGTGTTGTTGGCAGGTACACAGCAACTCACACTAAAGAAGAACGGGAGAAAAAACACAGTCTAAAAAAAAAAAAAAACGAACCTTCTAGCAGCAGGCAGCCAATCAAAACGCCAGAGGCTGTAATGAGTGCGATTGATGAGTGTTTGGCTTTACTGCAGGGTAATGAACTAGAATCCAGTCTGAGGAGAAAAATATGAATATTCATGAAGCTGTGCTCCTGCCTTTGATGATTAAAGAAATTTTTAATATTCAAATAAGCGCTTGCCAAGTGATTAACAAAGAACAAGCACGCAGCACTGGAAATTGAGACGCTGAAGATTTGGGAGTCAGAGCCTGTAGAGAAAAGCCAGTGCACACACACACACACACACACAAAAAATATATAACAAAAAACAAACCTTTATATACAAGATAGAAAGATAGCGAAATGCACCAAACAAAATGTAGTGTGTTGTTTCAAGAAACTAAAGGAGGAGGGGGCGAAATAAACAATAAAATCAAAACTGTTTGAGAAAACAGCCGAAACTAGTTAATTTCTGTAAAGCCTCGGCTTAATAATCTAGAGCGATGCTTCCAAAGCTTTTGTTTCTAAGAATGAAAAAACAAAAACAGTCAAATCGATTGTTTAATAATTGTTGTTTCACGTCTAATTTTAGATATGTTGTTACCATGTTTCTAATTACATACGACGCATTGTGTAGATGCTAATGAAGTATAGAACAATCTGTGAATAAGATGCTGACGGCTAGCTGATGAGACCTTTATTTGCGGTTTATTTATAAGAAAAGGAAGATAGGAATAATTTAAATATGCATTATTATAGCATTATAGCTTCCCAGTACTAAAACCCGATAATATTTTTGCAGTCTTGAGAATGCAGGCTATAAACACATGAAGAATATAATCAATAATGCATTCCATCTAATTTTGGAAAGCCTCTGACGAGCTCACTCTGCAAAGACGGGTGTGCCATTGCAAAATATTGACGTTTCTTTAACGTTTTAAAGCTGTTGCTACTGAGTTTGAAATTAAAAAGTCATCTTCTTTATTAGCCCTGCAGTAGTTAAATTCTGTCTTAATACTAATCAAAATCAAGGGCAGTAACAAAACAAGCCTATAAATGGCTCAATGAAACATTTTCATCTCCTATGAACCACGAGATGTAGTTACAATATATAACAGATCAGCCTTTTTTCCACCACATCTGTTCCATTTTACCCCTGACAAAAATCTATTAAAAAAAGAGACTTGTTCACATTAGTTTTGCTGAAAATCACTGGGAGGCTGGCTTCGCAGACATGAAGGATTTTGTCTTTCAGTGTCACAGAGAGCTGTACGCTATTAACTCTAAATAAGAAAATGATCACAATGAACATATTCCAGAAAGCAGGGCAGTCTGAACGTGTTAGAAACACTGGGCACAGTCCATTGGATCACAAGGCAGCTCTTAAAGGAGAGACTGGAACAATACGAAAAAAACACCTAAAGGCTGTATTTATATCACATTTGGGATATCTGTAAAGGCTGTTGAAGTTACTTATTAAATCATCACAGTAGTGATTTGGGAACTGATATACAAAAACTTCTAGAGATGTTTTTTCATGACCACCTGGCTCTCACAGTGGCTGTTTAATTTTGATGTCCCTTCAAGGAAAATACGAAAGGAGTTTTCTACTAAAGGAATTCCTTGTCAAAGAGGATTCTGGGTAACCTTCACAAACAGGAGATTTCTGTCTATGATCTAAACCGCCATTTTGTAAAGCAATACTCAATACATCACCAGCAGTCAATGTTTTATTGATATCCCTTTAGAATGCTATAGGGTAACTTGCACATCACCAAGACCATTGGGTTTCCCCAAAGAATGTTTTGAAGCAGCCTGATCTAAAACCTACACTAAAGACGAACCTAACACAGAGACTTAAAATGTAACAACCAAATCACATGAAGTTAAAGTTTTCATATCAGTTTATTGGGAATTACTAGCAAGCGGGCACACAAGAACAAGCCTTATAAGATGATATTTGCTCAGGAGAACTTATTAGATTTATATATCCCCTTGTGCCATTACATAGGGTAAATGTGTCATATTTATGAAGGCTATACAGGTGCTACTCTGGGTCAAAGTTCTAAACGTTGAATGGTTTCCATAGTGATAGCTTCTTTCGGTACTTTAACCCAGAACAGCACCTGTTTTTGCCAAATAAGCCCCAAGAGTGTACTAGACTAATACTACTCCCTTAAAGTATTATGAAATGGAAATAGCAGATGTTTTGGCATCTAACAAGCATCATCAGTGGAGTGCAGCGGATGCCCCTCTATGCGAAGTGACCAAAAAGTCCATAGGTTTAGAAGGCCACAATCACCGGATCTTACAATCTATAAGGCTATACGGTGCTACTGCAGTGCAAAAGATTTGACTGGCTAAGACATTCCAAGAACAAAGTACATTAAATCTAACATATGGACTTTGTTCACTGAACTGGAGTTGAGGAGAGTAGACAAGGTAAATGCAAATTTGGTTGGGCTGGAAAAATTGCTGAGTTAGAGAATGTTTCCAATTTTGCTGTTTTGATCTAATATATCCAGTTCCCTTGTCCGTTCACCAAAGTGCGCAGTTAAGTGAATAACTCCTTATGTGTTTAAAACTGCAGTGTTGTCTACCAGCAGACAGCAGAAGGGTCCTGTTTTAACATGTCCCAATATTATCGTCAGGCCTCAATCTGGGATTCTTTTCTATAGTCCCTTATAACTTATATTTAACATTAACCCTATCCATTTAAAGAAGAAGTGTAGCTTCTGATACTAGCTACACGTTAGCTGTAGGTTGTGCTACGATGCAGGAGGCATCATGGGATGACTTAGTCATACGCAGCGCAGAAGTGCAGCAGAGGTAAGATTTTTACTTACCTTCACCCCATTAAACACTCCAATAGCATTTACTGTGATAACAAAACATGGAACGTGAAACACAGAACTGTCAAAGTGACGGCTTCTCTTTAAACGACCAACATATTTATTCTAGAAAAATGTCTAACCTATTTTGAAAGTAGTTAGAAAGGGCAAGAATGGAAGAATGCCTTTACCAGCCTGGCCTTAATCTGCTTCACAAATTAGGAAAAAATCCGAGTTACATGGTTTTTGTAGCCTTATTCATTAAGCACAACAAACCTGCGTCTCCTATTTAGCCTACTGTTTGCTTCAGATACAGTTCTGTAAATATATAACAAGACTAAAATGGTTCAATAACTGTATCGAGAATTCCATGCAGCAATTTAAAGAGAAGACCCTTTGTCTAAAATCTCCTGTGCAGTGTGGGATTATGGATACCTGGGTAAGCTAGCGTGGATGCATTGCGCAGCAGTGTGTGTCGTCAGTTACAGATGGAGTGAAACGCTTTCTGGAAATGTGTTTCTGTCATGTATTCTCATCAAATCAATGAACTTGACAAGTCTGAGTTATGTCTAAAGGGGGAGTTCTTGGAAATTTATACAATAAAAAAAAAAAAATCTATCAAAAAAAGCATGCAAACCTGTCTATATGGTTTATTAAAGTTTTTACAAACAGTTTCGTAGGGGTTTTCAGGTATATTTAATAATTTAAATCTATGCTATTCATATTGTCTTACTTAGCTTCCTTGAGTCATGCACCAGTTTCAAAAGTGACGAACGAATTAGAAAATTGTATTTTTGGGGAAAATAAATCGTAAGCGCAACAGCCAATGGGTGTTATGTATAAAACATGTTGGGTTTGCTTCCATGTTTGCGGTTGTTTTGTGCACATGCACCAGTTTCAAATTTATATAGCTGTTACTTTACCATTTATATATTGGTGCCCTCGTTTTTTTTATCTGTTCTGTAAAGCAACAAAATAATTAGTATTACTGTCACTTTTTATTACTCATCTGGATTTTTGGTTGTATTTTTGGACAGATGTGTCACATAACAGCAAGAAAAAAAAGGTATATTCACAATTTTAATTTACATATATTTGTATATATATATATTAAGCAAAAATTAAGCTACTTACCTGTAACAATAAAAACCAGCAATCTGACTGTTGGAAAGAAAAAGCACACTTTTGCACCTCTTTTTTATACGATGGAAGCGCTGAATTTAAGAACTAAAGAAATAGAACCAAAACGGGAAAAAGAAAATAAAATGACAAAAGTGGTGCAGTACAGAATATTTCGGCACACGTAAAAGAATAAACAGCTGCAAAAAGTGAAAGCACCATAAAAAATGCCTAAAAAGCGAACCTGACACTATTACACATAACCCTACATCTGTTTAAATTCAGATTTATTAAGAAAACTGCCCTAACTGCTGAAAAGTTTCACAAAATGTATATTCTACCACCTATTGAACATGGCTATGGAATTAGTTGGTGTTTTATGTATAATAGTAATAATAAGATTAATAATAATAAGACCACTACACAACCTGTAGATCGGTTTACACTCTATTGATTAGAGCTCTATAGGCGAGGGCCCAATGTGAGGTCAATGCCAATCTGATACCTCTTTTCTAATCATACAAGCTGTGTTGCACAAATCAAATTCTCTTTCTGGGAAATCTGGACACAAACAAACTGTATTCCTAATATAGCCTCTGCCAAATTCCTAATAATGTCCATTTATTCTGACATTTCTGCCTGAAACAAGAGACAGCAGTGTTTAGAACATGTTCTACTACTACAATTCAATGACAACAAATTAATAAAACTACCGAAGAGTTGTTCTAGCCAGCTGCATGAATACTTGAACTGCAGTCTAGTGATCTCTCACTATCTGCAAAATGTCTTAGGAAATCCAAGCTCCATCACACGCCCGTCATTGACTTTTGCAATGCAAACGTTGATTTGGCAGAAGAATGGCTGCCTAGCATAATCCCCTCTTTTGACAAAAAAAAAGAAAAACTACTATTCCTGGGCACTGGCTCAAAAACAGGTAGGAAGCAAATGCTTAAAATTGAGGAAGAGAAAAGAGCCAAGATTTTTTTTTATTTTTTTTTACTACGACCAGGAACGCCAAAAGTAAACATGATTTATTTGAGCTCTGGATAAAATGTCGTGAACGAGACTGCAGAACCAGGCTTGCAATTAAAAAAAAAAAAAACCTAATAAAGTAAACAAAATGGGCAATTTATTATAGAACACTTGTGTCATTTAGGCTCACAGTTTTAATGGCTTTGAGTGCTTTCTAACCCGAAATATACTCTTCCTAAAATAAAGCAGTTCTAATCTGTTCTTAATTAATCTTCTGCTAACAAAAGATGAAAGGTCTGGCTAATAAAAGCAATATTTATGTGGTCACAGCGTGACTTTGCCACACACATCTTCCAAACACATGAGGGGCTTATTCACTAAATTGCAAAACTATGAAGTGCACATTTAAGGCCAAACTAGTTAAAAACACAATAGATTTCCTATGGCTATGTTGGCTTAAAAAATGCAATTCACTTCACATTCCCCTACAATTACCAATTTAGTGAATCTGCCCGATAATTTTGCTGAAAAGCAAAATAATGTTTGTTATATAAATATATTAATGAATGATAAGCCCTCTGTACTTAAAATGATATTTGGTATAATGCTTAAAATAAAACATATTTATATGCAGGGCCTTCTTCTGCCCTTGTTTCTTTTAATATTTTTATGTCAGTTACTTGTTAGAGACAATTATCTCCATTCTATAATTGCAAAGCGCTGCAGAATATATTGGCGCAATATAATGGCTAATAATAATAAAAATTTTATTTTTTTGTTTGTTTGTTTTTTTACATATGTATCAGACCTGATGTACACTAGAAGCAGCTTAATATAATTTGACTTATCTTTACATGGTTTTTATTTCTTTATTGTTGTGGTTAGTGTACCCAGCCTGAAAGGCTATCCTTAAGAGTTTACAATTTTCTGAGCTGCAGTGATATTAAGTTAAATGAAAAAAAAATTTATCAAACGCATGCAATTTAACAATTAGTAACTAGACACATCTAATGTAGGCTGTACAGCACCGGTGCAAATTCTCCCAGTATTTTAAAAGCGTCATAAAGCAAAAAGCAAAGGGGTCACTATCAGCAAAAGACCATAACCTCCCTGGAAAGTGGGGATTTGCAGAACCATCCTATTCTAATTCGAACTGAATGGCAGCTACGACAATAGAAATTGGCAGATTTTATACCTTATAGCTTTCTCTCAGAAGCATTTAATTTCACTTTGTCAAAGCCCCATGCAAATCAGATAACTGCCTGAATTAGTCATGCTAATAGACTGTGTGTACGCATAATATCAAGTCCTGTTTCACAACGACAACCAATATAAAATGTTTTTAAAGGAAATTGCAAGAGAAATGAGTGTTACAAGAGTGTCATCATTGGCAAATGCATAAATTATTTCAGTACTATATATAAATATATGATATATATAGGCAGGACGATGCAGAGACTGTTATGATACCTATAACACATGGGGGATTGTGGAGAACAAGGAAATTTGCCACAGTTACTATTTTCGAAGATTAACCCCACAAACTCTCCAAGGGCTTTCTTTAATGTATTGAGGTCATCAAGGTGAGTTTTCATTGATTTATTGGTCTTTTATATGAGAATTTCTTTAAAAACTTACTTGGCACTAGCAAGACATTAGCTCCACTGTATTTAGATGGGTAATGTGAAAATGGATCTTATACTTTATTCGAGACATACGCTGATTGGTCAGGCTACAGGCATCAAGAAAGCACTGGAACCACTCGAAAATAGATTGACAGAAATTCAAGGGACAGTGACCAATGGCTCCTTGCACCATCATCACTGTAGTAAGTAGTGTATATAGTGCTTACTAAGTCTAACTCTACGGTAAATGTATTTTTACTATAGATTTAAACGTTTATAAAAAAAAAAGTATTTAATTACCCAATCAACAGCTTACAAACTGCGTTTTATAATATAGAATCCAAAAATTCAAATTTTAGAGAATTTTACGCAAATTGCAGAATTGAGGCTAAAAAGCTGATTAAGAAGAAAAAAAATAAACACAGCTATAGTTAAATACTGGCCCAGTTTTCAGACTCTTTTTCTTGTTTTTAATTCACTGAAATCCAAAGTTTGGTGAATAACCCTATAAATGTAACAGACTATCCCTTCACAAAATATTACATATTTTAAATTGGAAGTGTTTTTGTTGTTGTTGTTGTTGAATTAACTGTACTGAGCACAGGACTCAACAGGAAATTAAAACCTTTATATATAAAGAATTGATTCCTCTAAGCCGGGGGTCCTCAAACTCCGGCTCCCCAGATGTTGCTGAACTACAACTTCCATGATTCTTTGAATTACACAGATAGCTAGAGAATCATGGGAGTTGTAGTTCAGCAACATCTGGGGGGCCGGAGTTTGAGGACCCCTGCTCTAAGCCGTCTTAAGAAACAATACACATCATTTATTTTTTTTAAGTCCAGTTAAGGTGTAGGTTTATCAGTTTTGTCTCCAAATAAGCGATCTATTTGCATAAGAAAAATGTGTATTATTGCAGTCGAATCCTTTAATCAGTGGTTTTCACATTAACCATTTGTACACCTAGCACAAACGATGGTTTTTAAATTCTCAAGGCAGATGAAATCAGCAATTAATGTGTGTTAATGCAGATGTTCGAGAGAAAAGGGTAACTTTCTTAAGTGTTTTATCTCCCCTCTTCTGCTGAGAAACCTTACAATATGCACATTCATCAAACACATCGTATTATGCCTTTTAGTCTTCAACAATGATGAGTTTAGTTGTGTGATCTTTAGCCATATTTACAGATATTCAAAGGCAAATCCTATCTTGTTAGATTGTTATAAATGGGGCTCCAGGGAATGATTGCACAGTCTCCGGCAGATGTGAGAGCAATACTTTCTTGGAGAGGCGCACGGCAGTTCTTAACGTACAAATTAAAATTGTTAAAACTGCCAGTTTTCAGATTCTTCCTTCTTTTTTGCCAAATCATTACCGAGCATCAGTATGCGTCTCCCAAATGTCCAATTATGCTGACTGAGCTGGTTCAAAGGTAGCCCCATACATGTAGAGCTAAGAACACGTGTTGGTGTGTGTCGAACAAGCATACGGATAAACAAACACAGCTAACAAAGTAGTTGCAGTGTATGTAATATATGGACATTGATACGTAAATGCATTCAACCGCAGAGACTGTCACAATATTAAATGACTGATGGTCCCCTAGATTGTACACTCTTTCAAGCAGGGTCCTCATCAACCTATTGTTCCTATGACAATCTGTAACTGCCCCATGTATTGTTAAATTTCCCCCTTTATAATGCTGCAAAGCACTGCGGAATAAGTTGGCGTTACATATAAAAATAAGAAAAATGGGCAAATTTCTTGGGCATCGACTTCTTGCAATTAAAAAAATATATATATATAACTGAAAAAGCAGATAATATGCAGTCAAAACAAGACAGTTTGGAAAGAATCTATAATGAAGAATTTAGCCAGGCCGGCTACTTTTGGCCTACTTTGTCAATGCCCAAAATGTACTATTTTATTGGAGTTTAATGCATTTAATGAACCAACAAAATTACACCAATCTTTTAAAATCCATGATTTTCTCTATGAGTGTTAAACAGTGATAAGTAACCATATCTTGCCAGCATTGGCAAGTAGTAAGCCAGGGCAGGAGTAGCACGTTCATGGCAAATCATCCTTACGCTCATGTTTGCTAGGATGACAGCCCTGCATAGCAGCCTGCCAGGACTCCCCGTGTTCACAGCGCTGCCGAATTGCTCTCACATGGACAGAAATGACCTATAAAAGCCTCCACAGGGTGAAATTATTCAATAATATATTTTATAAGCACTCCTCTTTGGTGATCCTGGAATTGTGACATGAGAAAAATCCTGGAAAACAAGACAAGAGCTCAAAATCAGGACTGTCAAACCAGATTCAAGGCTGTTGGCAGGGATGTATTACTAATCTTGGCGCAGATCAGAATATAACCTTTATAATAGACTGCACTATATGCACCTTGATAAAATTCTACTTTAATTCTGCATAGAGAGCTTAAGTAGGAGATCATTTCAGAACTTTCTAAGTCTCACCTCATACATCTAGTTTCTTTGTTTTGTTTTAAAACCTGAATATCTATTTTTTTTTTTTTTCATTTGTGCATTCCAGGTGTGTTCTGCATCACTTGCAGAAACTAGAACGCCAAAAATATTTCTCTACAGCAGAGTTGAAATGTAACTCCAGTATATAATAAGATGACATGGTCCACTTCAGGTAAGTTATAGTTTTAAACCCCTTCATAACCAAGCACTATTTTCTTTTAAGGAAAATGAAACCATGGTTGTATAGGTGTCTTGCAAAATACTGCAACAATTTCCTTTAACCATATGTACATAGATGGCACATAAACTATGGAACAACGTAAATTCCATGGCAAAGTGCTTATTTAGTAGAAAAAATTTTTACAAAAAATATTTTTTACATTTCTACTTACCGGTAGTTATAAATCTGCAATGTATTTTGCAGAGCAGAATAAGACATGCGTCTATTGCCGAGATATATCATATTTAAGATTAGATTACTGAGCAATTCTTGGACTGGATTCTAAATTGCCCTTTCAATGAGTAAATTATGTCTATAGGTGGCCACTATGCCCCTATATAGAACTGCCTGTAATAAATCAGTCTTTTTATATATGAAATAGCAGTGCTCTATGTCACCACTAGGAGCACTTTAAAAAGTGTATGGAAAACATTTAACATTTTCAAAGCTGGAGTGAAAACTAACTATTCTCAACTAAAGCAGTTCATTTGTGTATTTGCAATGTGTGTCAAAGATGTATAACAGCCTTTTACTCTCTCGGTTTCTACATTTGCTTGCATTACTCTGAACCTTTGCAAGCCTTTAGAATGACAAAACATCATGGAAGCTGTAGTTTTAAAACATCTGAGAATCTATCTTTTGGGCAGCACGTATAACAGCTAGTATAACATAGTATCCCTTTAAACAGAACTATTACTCACAAATAGACCCTTCCCCTTCAGAAATGTGTCAATCTTGATTGGTCAAGTACTAGAGACAAGGCTGAGTCACATCCATAGGCTGTTGCTGGTATTAGTCACAGCAAAATCAGAATCAGGATTGGACAGTGATTTAGGCTACAGGATTTGACAGAGCTTGTGTATTTATCATGAAGGAATTATTTTATTCAGCATTTAAAGGCCGTCCCTTCTCATTCTCCATGTCAGAACTGTACTTGAGCAACTTGCTCATCACGCAATTAATTTCTTAGTCAATTCATGTACCTAGGGATTTCTAAGTCACACAAATTCAAAAAAACTCAAAAATTTGTTTTATTTTGCATTTGTCCATAAACTGAATGCACAAACCTAATATCTGCCTGCCACTGACTAGGTTTTCCCATGGAAATCCGATTTAGCTATGTATACATGTATTTCATAATCCTCACTGCACACACTTCCAAAATGTTTTATCTCCTCCCTAAAGAAGCCTTAAAAAAAAAAACCTCTGATCCTGCTCTGTAAAGACACCCAAACAGTTAAATGAGAATGAGAGAGCGTCTGCAGGGTAAACTGAGGCAGAAGTGAGAAAACAGGCCGAACGGCTCTTAGGAGTAATTACTAACAAAAAGCTTGAGAATGCTGGCGAGTTCCAGGCCTTGAACTTGCTCCGCTCTGCTCTATAAATTTCAACTTGGAATGGCTTCTCTGTGCCTACAAAAGATACTATGGCTATTTGCCAAGTCTGCTGCCACCCGCGAAAAAGGGGGGGAAAAAGTAAAGTAAAATAAAACTTCCTGCTTTGGAAAAGTTCACTTCAATCTTCACCTCTGCTCCCCTCCCCTGCTTCCCTCTCAAACATAAGACCTCAGTGGATTGTGGCTCTATAGCCCATTAGAGACCACAAATACCTGTTCTATATGCCACTAAAGGCCAGAGTGGATGGTGACGTTTTGCCCCATTAGGGACCACAGTGAATAGTGGCTTTATATACTACAAGAGAGGCCGTGGTGAATAGTAGCTTAAAGCCCCGAGAGAGGCCACAGAGAATAGTGGTTTTATAAACCACTAGAGAGGCCACAGTGGACAGTTCATAGCCTACCACATATTACACAGTGAATGTGGGTACACGGGGCTTGCACAGTCAAGCACAGCATGCGCCTAATTCAGCAGACTGCAAGCGCCATGGGAAACCAATATACATTCCCAGCAAGAATTGGAGAGGAAGGGGTAATTCATGAAGGAGTACGCTGTTTCTTTAAAAAGAAAACCACACAATTCCCTCTATTCAGTAACAGGTATAAACATATACACTGCATAATTAGCTTAAATATTCTTAACACAATTTACCTTGAAAAAAGAATGTATACCACAACCACAAACAGTCGAAGATCCATCAAACTGTCCTTTTTTTTTCTTATTCTTTTTTTCTTTCATCATTTTAACATGGACCTAAAAAGCTCTGGGATTTTTTAGCAAACCATCAAACCACAAAGAACCTGCGTTCTTTACCATGGGAGCTTACTTGCAATGATTTGAGTGTTTAGAGAGAGAGAGAGAGAGAGAGCAGACAGGGCAGGGGAAGGAGGGGGCACGACTGTCAACGTGAAACAAAAAGAGAGAGACAGAGGGGGGCCAGTGATCTATTCAAACCCAGACACACTGACCAAGGTCAGTAGAGAGCGATTCAGATCTCAGAGCAGCTGTGCAATTATCCCCAAATTATGCATAGACTTGAAATTCCGAGATTCTACACAGCAGCTTGCTAGGAGAGGGAGATCTTCTGGAAGGTGTAATCACTGTAATTGCTCCCTGGCTTTCCAAAAAAGGCGTCTGGATTAAAAGGGATCTCATAATGCAAGATCTACATACAGACAGAGAGGCAACAAAGTAATGAGGGGGTCAGACATTGAGCAGTAGTGGGAAAGCAAAAATACAAATAGTCACAGCAAGGTGTTTATCGGATATGAGCTTAGTCCCATGGGGGTGGTGAGGATTACAGGAAATGAATTGTACTACTTTTGTTAGTTTTTTTAAAGGTACCTTTTTATTGGAGCAGCGAGGTACACAGATATTTTAGAAAAGCACTGGGCGGACATGCCTCTAACCCCCTCCACCCCCCTTAAAACTTAGCAGACTTGATTTTTGTGTGCATTCTTTTTTCCATGTATGACAAACTTTCAGACATAAAAGGAAGTATATTACATAAAAAAGGGGAAAAGTGGATTTTACCCAGAGTAATCACAGACAGGGGGATATTTATCATCCTATTCATATAGCAAACAAATAAATTAGCAGCGCCAGGTCACAGTAAAACATAACACCAGCAAAAAAACATAATATAAGACAATATAATATATCGACGTTAATAAAGGTACATGGCAAGTGTATTGCTCTTGTAAACTCCCAGGTAAAGGTGAGATCTGTAAGACTGCAAAGATTTAAAGCCTAGACTTCACTGCTCAGTAAATAAAGGTTTAAACAGCCCACCCTACACATCATACATCATATACTTAATGCATGCTTCTATATTAACAGAATCAATAGACAATGCAGATTTGATCCTGTTAAGGATTTAACCTGTCCTTCTACTCTCATGTACATCGACAATGAAAACATTGGCTCAAGAGAGGGATCTGGCTGCCAGCAAGCCACAGAGTGATTGAAAAGTCCATTCTGTTTTCATTACATTGCTGGGATATCCTTCTCAGATCTGGAACTCGGAGTTATGCGCCCCCCCCCCATTCTCCCTCCCGAATACTCCACCCCTCTTTCAGCTCTCACGATTGCGAATCTAGAGCCAATGGAAAGGATTGCTCATCTGACTTTAACAGTGTATCTTCCCCCCACTATTACTGATACAATACTTTATAACATCAAGAGATTCTTTCGCACTGTACAACAGGCATTGCATAACAGTATGAGAACGCCTAAAACAGACAGATGATATGAAAGCTCTGCCCTGTTTAGATTGTAAACTTTCATCACTTTTCATTACCGGTTTGCTGAATCTCTTACCATTAACTTCTATGTCCCTTCATTTTTTTCATTGTGCTGCGCTACAGAAAATGTTGGTGCTTTCACACTAATAATAACATAATATTTTATTTTATGGAGCTGCCATATCATCTCTCTCATTCTGTACGGGAAGATGAGATTGGAACTCAGAGTAAAGTGCAAGTGGGACAGTGATCCGGTCTAAACTGCAGGCAGGTGACACAAAATGGGACATTTATCCGAGTATTTTGTTCTAAATAGTTGTCTAAAGTACTGGGGCGATCATGGCAGAAACCAGTGAAACCAGTAGACACATTCCTTATCAGACTACTGTTTCTGAAGTAAAGCCAAAAAACAGAGTGTTTGAAAAAACTAGATTCTGATGACGCCCGATGACCCACAGAGTTCTAAGTATTCTGATTTAATGCCAATAAACCCCCAAGCTCTGTGGCTTTGCACACCCCTGACCTTGATGTAAACATTACATTCCCCACATGCTAAATCTATTTTTACAATAACAAAGTACATTTTTTACATAGCTGGTAAAGATAATTTTGAAAGGGGACTGATAATACAGATAATATGCAGGTGCTTTTTATCAGTACTAACATGTCAGGTTCTAAATTCTTTGCTAAATTGACCCCTTCAGTGCCACTATTAATACTAGTGATACATATACGGAATCACGTGGCTAGAATCATGTAGCTATAGCTAGGAGAATAAACTGATTTTCTTAGAAAGCAATATGGCCATTTATTTTTTCATTATTTACTATTAAATGAAATAAATCAGCATAGGCATTTTAAAGAACAATGGCAGTACAGCTTCCTAGCGTTTAAAAACCCAGAATTTAGAATGTAATAAAGTGGGCTGTGGTACTTGTCTATGGCCTGGAAGAGCTTCTGCTTTCAAATAGAGCTTGAGATATTCCCACAAAATCTTCTCCTCTACAAAAAAAAGGTGTCCTTTGCTATTACTATAGAGGTGAAAGGGGTTGCAGGATTGTGTGAATAGGCTAAACATGGCACTTTATTCAAAGTAATTTCCTACAAGAACTTTTACCTCTTCAGCTCCTACATGCCTTGCAAAGTCAATGGCCTTCTATGCAGTAAGGAAAATGTATGATAGGACGCAAAATATTTTAGATCGGGGAAGGCAACCTTTGGCACTCCAGATGTGGACTACATCTCCCCTGATGCTTTGCCAGCACTATGGCTGCAAGGTCATTATGGTAGTTGTAGTACACAACATTTGGAGTGCTGAAGGTTGTCTATCACTGTTTTAGATCATGAATTAGTTTAGAAGCTTTCTTTACATTTACACCGTAATCCCTTCTCTTTGTAACAAATACAATCTCTAAAAAGATACAGCTATTTTATTCTCTATCCAAAACTATTATCAGATCTTAAAAATAAAATCTGCTTAGAAACAATACATTTAGACCACTAATAAAGAACTTTAGACTTAAACTGAAATTAATTCATAAAAAACATGGCGCAAAAAGCCATCAGTAACCTTGCTTTAGCGGTACAGTCATTTTGTTACTGTGTCGCAAAAGCAATATACTGTGTATACTTTGTTATATATATATATATATACTATATATGTATACTATCTATCTATATATATATATATAGGAACTTTTGGCATTTGGTTGGCTGGCCAGAGTGTATACTGGGAATCCTAAATACCAAGTTCCATAATTAAGGATACGTCATTTTAAAAATGTACTGATTGTTTCATACATTCATATATTGTTGCTATTTTTAAAGGGACATTCTAAGCACCATAACATGGCAGCATATTGCATTGGTTTTGGTGCAGTGAATTATTTTTTGACAAATTGTATTTTTGCGTGGTTTGAAAAATAAAAAAGCTTTTCTGGCATCCAAAGTCCACGTACTGTTGTAATTCTCATTTTAAGCTTATTTTAAGGATCCCTATTGATTATTTTAGGGGCTGCACTCCAGTGGTCCCCAGAATATATCTTTCTGGGTCTGATTTGCTGCTTATGATCCTATGATACATGTAAACTTTAACTATTTTTATGACATTTATGGAAAATGTACTTTACCTCTGTAAAAAAAAAAAAAAAAAAAAAGATATGTTGCTTAAAACTAAAGACTGGTTTATCTTATAATCAGAAAACTGAGAACAGATTCTGAAGGGCAATAAATGTAAAAGATGACCTAACACTGTGAGTAGAAGAAAGGGTTAAATGTTCCTAAGGCAAACATCACCTTTTTTCTGTTGACACCTATAGATAATGTCTGCAAATGGGTTATTTCACTAAGCATGTAACTGTAGAAAACGGATGGGAAATCAATGTACCAAAAGTGTAAACCCCTTTTCCAAAATAAGGGTGAGTTTACAGTGTCTGGCAAAAAAATCTCCTGGAATGCGTCCTTAATCGATCGCCCGGTACCTTCACCATAGCTACGACAATAAAACATTTAGATACTTTAGTATATACGACAATATATTTTTATATATATAAAAGCACTGATGAGTACGTGTGACTCCAAAGAGTTAAAATATATTGTGCGATCAGAGTTTAAGTTAAAAGGAAATAAATAAGGGAACTTCACTGTCCTTGAGCTCTGGACGATAAGTATATTACCCTGCTACAAAAATACCAGCACACGCACTTAAGCGTATAAAGTGCATTTATTTTCTTCAATGTTTCCTGGTGGGTGGACCTGAGTGTTGAGAGGACAGTGGTCACACTGTGTTATTTCCTTGTGAAGAATACAGTTTTGCGATGACCTGGGATTGCTTATCTAATCTGTTTCGTGTAACTGGGCCGTAAAATGTTGACAGGCTACCGCCACCGCACCTTGCCGCTTAAATCTAAATATACAAGACATTCCAGGACTCGTTTAGCTTGCATTTCTTTCAAGTAGCAAAATGAAATGTATTGAGAGAAGCTTATCTGAATGCTTTGGGTAAAAAAAAAAATAAAAAATAAAAAAATTTAATCCATCTCTTGTTTCAGGATGGGGGGAAAAAAAAATTTATTTTTGAATTTTTTATATTTTTGCTTTTTTTTTAACTCGATTGTAAAATATCTTCATGCTCAGATATCAGTAACGTATTTACGTGGCAAACCATGTATGTCATGATATCAAGGGATTTGGCTCGCGTGTAAATGGTTAATTAGTTTATAATCCCAGAGGGAAGGAACTGGCTTTTTTAAGATAACATTGAAGATCACACTTGGGCAGCACTGATACACCAGCAAGCTTAGCTATAAATGCATTAAACCCGACCAGGGTCCAAATATATTGATTGTTCTGTACTTAGTACTGACACTGCCGCCCCCCTGTCCCAATCTCAATACAGATGTTTCAAAAATTACAAAACCTTAAGTGGCAGAGGGTGGAACAGCCACAAAATTATCCTCTCTCTCATTTTGGTTAAATAGGTTTAGTCACCGAACAGTTGTGACAAGGTGACAACCAAATTACAATATATATCTAATTTTTCCCTAAGTGAGTTCAGCTAAATAGTCCTAAATTTTGTAACTTGGTAATTAACTCTTGACTCACTGTTTGATGAATATACTCTAAGAATCTAAATTTTGCAGATCACTGGTAGAAAAGTTATGTTTTATGTCTATTAGTGTGGCTGCACCTGCAGCGAATCCCCATGTTAAATTTAAAAATGCACTGTTTATAGCAACAATTTATTTTTGCTTTTACTTCATATTGTTTCCTGTCCCTAAAACTTCAAATTACAACATTGCAAGGTTTCCTCTGCTGTTCCCATTGATGCCAAAGCAAGGACTCGAAATTCTGAGGATTTCTGTCATGTTGCTGGTAACTGAATACCTCCCACCTGTCCCTTTTTAGGAGGGACAGTCCCTATTTTGAGTCCAAATCCCTCTACCCCTCTTTTATATCTTTTTTCCAGGAGCTTCATATTGTCCAGTATATAACAGATCTTCCCAGCAATAATGATCACAGTAATGAGTCTTTACCACACCCACGCCCTAAAATTCAAGTGTCTCTCTTTGTCCATTTGAAACGTTGGGAGGTACATAACTGGGTTGCATCACTACTGTATATGTTGGTGCTATTATTCTTAGAAAAATAAAAAGTGATAATAAGAGCAACATGTTCTTTTAAGCAGTTTTCACGAAGCCCATTGCAAATCTGCATGTGTTTTGCATACAAACTTTGAAATTCTACAATGTTTTTGTGTATTTGCAGTAAAGTCGCTTATTTAGAATTTAACTTCCTGTGGTCATGTGATTTATAAAGCCTATCGCGTGGTTGAAGGGGGCTGATGCTGAATGTCTGACTTTTTGGTAAATACAAATTTATAGTTACATTTATTTTACGGAATCCCCAGTTTGATCACCTTGCCCGCCTCTTGTCCCTTCGCTCTATTTTTTGGCCCAAGGCGACCATCCGTTCTCATTCTCTGTCTCTGCTCACTGATCTGGTCTATCTGTAATTACACTCAAGTCTCCCTGTAGTAGTAGAGACATCAGGTGTCACGGCGGGTCTCCATTCTGGATGCCCTGGCAAACGGAGAGTGAGCCAAACTCAGCAGAAAGCAGCTTGACATACACTGTGCAGCAGCCAAACCGCACGCTTCTCTGAACCACGAAAATGGCTTGAATTTTGTCTATTTAAGAATTCTACGCAGATAGGATGGGCGTCAGGGGCCTGTTCATTACATGGTGTCTAATGGCCATCATGGTATACCGCAATAAAGGGGCATATTTAGCATAAGACAGCTCCGGTAATTAGCTGTCAGGAAAAAAAAAGAAAAAAGATAATCCTGAACATTCTATAGAACAATCAATCGCGTCCACACACAGATTTTACTAATCTCCATTTGTAACAAAATAATTAGAAATGAATCAGGTGGCTTATTTTGTGCCAATAGCTGTGTTTATCTCTTATGTCCATAATAAGATGTGCATCTTGGCTTCTGCGACCTAACAGAAGGCGCAGGCTAATGTGGGGCGCAGGACTGTGATTTTTGTCATTTAAAATAGGAGGGCCCCCCTCTCTTTTTCCACCTATTTGCAGCATCTGCAGACATTGTCCTGTTTTTACCCTGTGCCCTGGTGGACTTATAGTTACTTGGGGATTAAACCTATGACCTATCAAACCATGTGTATGTCTCTCAACAATCCAGTTTCTAGCTTCTTTCCAGTTATCTCAGGTTATCCAGCAGTGGGACACTACAATAAACTCACACTAAAGAGCTGCACGGTCTGCCCTGAGTGGGGCCAGTCACAACGACAGTTAGTCAGGCAGTCCAACAACTTCCTGGGTGGAACAACCTCTTTTCTTGAATGAATTCACCACTTTGTTGCCCCATTGTGGTCTACCTACTTTCCGTCCTGTTCCCTTACTTTCCACAGGTGAGACGTATGATTCTGATCATTTAAACTAGTGGTTCCCACCGCAGTTCAAGGCACACTAATGCCTCAGGTATTTTTAGGTATTATCACCAAACAGAATTGGAAAAATCACTAAATCCTAAGCCTAGCCATGGATCTCAAACTCACGCCCCGCAGATGTTGATGGCCTACAACTTCCAGAATTATTTGACTCCAATAGATGCCCAGGTAATGAGCTGAGTTATAAGTTATAGTTTAGTAACACCAGTGGGGCTGAAGATTGTGATACCTGCCCTAGACTGTGTGCCTTGAGAACTGGATTGCTCTGGTTTGATGTGCCTTGAGAACAAGTTTAGTCCACAAGTTCTAGTAGGCAACGTGTAAAGAAACTTGAAGTCTAGTTCTATGTCCAGGTCAAGCAGTAAGGCCTCTTAGCATTTTCTACAATGTTGTTAAAATAAAAACCAGTCACCTAAGTAAAAGTAACGTGACATACACAGGCCAGCTAGGTCATGGAGGACTTAACAGTAAAACCAAAGTACAGAAGGACATTAAGAGCTGAGGAAATTGTCAACAAGTAGAACATACGTCAAGAGGGTAATTTAAAGAAGAAGGGACTGAGCCTCCTTGAAAGACTACAAACCTGAATGACAGAACCAGATCTTGTATAAGCCAACCAAGTAGTTATTTTTCTTCTGTGACAGAAAAAAAAGTCAGCTACAGGTGCCTGAGATTAAATCTCACAAACATTGTAAACTCTGTGGTAGCCACTGTTAATCTTAAAAACTCTTCTCTGTGGTAGAGGGTTTTAAGAGAGACAGATTTTACCAGACCTGTGGTACCGGATTTTTGAGATTCCCGAGACTGTAAGTTAGATCCATAAGTACTTGTATCTAAACTTCCTGGTAGCTCAGATCTCGGCAACCTTTCTGTGACTCACAGCACCAGCTACAGCCTTCAAGTCCCAAAACTAGAATGTTTACAAGTATTCAATTCAGCCTCTGCAAAGACCTCACCCGGGGAAGAATAACGCTAAAGGTTATCATCCACGTCGGAGATCAAAATTAGTACGCACATAATTAAATAAAAGTGTACAAATAATGACATGAAAATGTTTTATTGGATGTATGCAGGTGAAAATTTCACATATAAAAGGATATTACACCCAAAGTTAAATGTAGGAAGTCGCTTATTTATTGATTTGAAAAATGAAGGCCAAATTAGTAGGTGGATAAAGTCTAGTTTAATTTTTTTTTTTTTAGACCAAATATTTCAAATCAAGTGACAACAAACCCACAACTCATTATGTAGCTATGTGTATCAGTGATGGTAAATTTTAGCAACTTAAATTCAAATGGCAAAGTTTAGGTAAACACAGTCAAGCCGTGACGATAGCAGAGTTATAGAATTTCTCCAAATGAGCTATTTTTGCATAAATTTTGCCATTCTGATTAATTCGCTAAAATTCTGAATTTAGTGGAGAAATTATTAAATGTGACATCGTGGACAAATTAGAGATATACGATAAGAAAATGTATTCCAATTCTTTTTACTCTTTGACAACAAAAAGGAAAAAAATAAACACAAACAGATCTTGAGCAGAAAAACTGCAAGCACTGCAGTCCTACAAACTCAATTACGCTACAATAATTAACGCTTCCACCACATTAAATTATATTTTACATCTAAGCAGCTCAAATGTTATTCTTTAGTATTTTTCTAACGAGCAGAGAAACATATTTTTTGTCATGTTCTATTAGATACATTAAAAGAATAGAAAATAAATAAAATAAAAAAATAGTAGCTTTTAATTATTATTTTATTATTTATATAGCGCCATCAGATTCCGTAGCGCTGTACAAATGAAAAATGTATAAAAATTCCAGCTGACAAAAACACCTTGTGCATGTATATCCAAGGATCACTTTAGTTATTTTTCTTGAAAAAAGGATGAGTCTTAGAAAATTTTTAATATAAAAATACATTGGGGGATGGGGGCTTTTTGTAGTGTAAGAGATTAACTTAATTTTTTTGTGTTTGTATTTATTTTATTCAGTAGATTGTTTTGTTATCCTGTCTCTAATAGTATCTCTATTGAAAAAAAAATTTTTTGTTTAATTTGTTTGTTTGGTTTTTTTTTTAAAAGAAGAGGCCGACACCTGGTATATGACAAGAAAAAGTGCACTAATTTTTAAAATATTTTGGAGTCATTTAAATAACAATCACTTTTAAGATTTATCAAAGTGATTCGCAAAGGTATCTTATCTTACTTTGTAAATTTATACCATAGGTTATCTGTTTACCATATATATATATATATATATATATATATATACTTTTTAATTTGATATGCTTTAGTATTCATGTGTCATTCTTGAACTAATATGCCAGCAATAGGTACAGCATATTTGTAATACTAGAGTGTTATACTAATTGGATTATTATCACTGTCCCTCACAGAAATAAAAAAAGGAAAAAAAAGATTTACCTACCTTACTTCCCCTGGCACGCTGGTCTTGACACCATCGCCCCACCTCTGTTGACTGAGAACATCAGTACTGACAAACTCAACCAATTCAATGCTTCCCCACAGCAATGGGGCTAGTGTGCATGTGCAGTAATCTCAGCATCCCCTCATAGATATACATTGAGTCAATGAAATGTTCAGTGTCTCGATGCAAAGCATTGAGGCATTGAACGACTGTCCTGCAGTGTTTGCAAGAGGTCATCCAGGAAATCCCTGTGGTGGCTGTCCGAGTGACAGAAACTAGAGGTGGCATTAGGCATCAATGTAAATACTGCCTTTTTTTTTAGAAAAGGTCAGAGCAGAGACAGACTCTTTGCCCTAGAACCACTACATTAAGCTGTTGTGGTTCTGGTGTCTAAAGCCCCATTGTAGGAGCTACAAATATAGCAATCACAAGAACGAACAGACAAATAGAGATCACTAGTCTTTGCTCAATATTTCTTGGTATGATTACAAAGTGCTCACACAGAAGAGAGATTTATCAAGGCAAAATGGATGTTATTTTAGGTGTAGTGAAGTATAAAGTATTGAGAGCTATTCTACTGATTTCTATGGCTATTGCTCCTTATTTAGTACTGTAAAATATTGACCAGGCATATCTGCTGTTCAGCCTCCTTCCACTGTACAGAGCATATGAGACTTCTACCAGTAATCCAACAGTTAGACAAACCAACTGTTGTCTGTAGAATACTCAGCAAACACAGCAGCTCACACCGGAGGGAGGAGAATTAACCCACTTCCCCTTGGTAACAGACTTTGCAGAGAAAAATGTAAAATTCTTCACTGTATTAACAAGCACCATGCATCAAAGGTGTTTGCAATTTTATTTAATTTTGGATTTTTATTTATTTTATTTTTTTGTTACGGGTACGTTAAAAGTATTTATGGAGGGCTCTGCGCAATGAAAGTTTTGCTGACGAATAAGTTCATTTTGGGATGCAGGAGTCAGAAAGCCTGGAGACGCTGTATTCTAGGAAATGGAACGGGAAGTGTGCTGTACGCGGGTTTCAGGATAAATAGGTTTAGGATTAGCATTAATCCCGACTTCTAACATGTAAAACAATGCAACTTCAAACTCACGACGTTAGCCGAGGGATGTGTGCCAGAAAGATCAAAGATGGGAGTTCAAATGATATTAAAGTATATATTCTTGGTTTAATCTGATGATTAATTACATGATGAATTGGGGCCTTATGTTTAACTAAGTCTTGCAATAAAAAAAAATGTAGCTACCAGTATTTTATGTATCTTATCGAACTACCTGTCTGTCTGTTTATCCTTTTTTGTTCGTCTGTCTCTCCTTCTCTTTTTGTCTGTCTCTAATTCTGTGCTCATCTGTATCTTTTTCTGTTTGTCTGTCTCATCCTTTGCCTGTTTGTCTCTCCTATGTTTGTCTTTTTGCCTCTGTCTCTGTCTGTTTCTCTGTAATGTATCTTTGTAACTAGACATACCTGCACATGTCTTTAAGTGCTACTTTGCAGGTTATTATTTAAACCATTGCAATACCACTCTATATACCTATCAATTATTTATTTAAATCATAAACACACATATATATACAGACAGACAGACGAATTGCTAGAAAAATGATTGATAGTTCATTAGAGTGTTTTACAGAAGAAACAAACGATATAGACATGGATAACAGATAGATAGATAGATAGATAGAATGAGAGTTAGGTAGGAAACCGTTTTTTCTTTACACAGATCTACATTTCCCAGTGTATTTTATACTAAATGTTATCAAGTAACTCATTTTGTAGCTGGAGTATAAAATTTAAATCTATATGTAGCCATGTGCCTATTGTGAGTGGCCTAGTTGCATGCTCTGGATCTTACAGCCTTGTGGAGCGTGTGTGTGTTTTAAGGCATGACACAAAGCTTTGCGCTGTCTCTGCAACATCACATTAAGGACACTGTACCTGCAATGTTCTCCTGCTTGGGGCAAATTCCTTTCGTAGGCGTGAGAAGACGGTCTTCCTCGTCGGGCGTGACTTGGATGCCGATCTCCACGGGCTCTGCCACTTTCCTGAGCTCGGAGCGAGATGAGGGGGGAGGAGAGCTCTTATCCAGACTCTTATCATAGCAGACACTGCCTGGTCCGCCGCACAGCTTTCTCTTGTGCTCTATAAAAACCAAGATGTCTCCCAAAGGGAAGTTCATTTGACACTGTCCACATGTTAGCAAGTCGGGGTCTGTCCCGTTGCCGCCAAGATTAATGGATCCTGACTCAGGGAGGGCAAGAGCATCATCATCGTCGTTGATCACCGTTTCAACATGGCGGTCGTCTGCTAAGAAAAATAAAGAAGAGCTATAAGCACTGGAATATCCACATAAACACGATAACATCAACACTAACCCAACATTCCAAAGCCCATATCCCCATCTGTAACAAAAGGATAAATACATAATACAACTGCAAGAAATCCCACTCAATACATAAAGGTTAACAAGTGATTTAAACAATGATAGCTGATTTATTGTGCCCCTTCCTTCACCAATATACAGAATGTCCATACTGATCTGCTGTCAGTGTCAGCACTTTTTTAAAAAATGTGTTGAAAACATTTTTCTTACGAAACATAGAATATTTTTACAGGCATCCTGCTAGAAGCCCTTGACAGCTCCATTAATAAGACGTTGCACGGAAACACCATTTAGGGGGTCACCTGCAGACGCAACTTGCCAGATATCCTTTTTTTCAGGGCTTAACTTCCATGAGATAATTGAAGCTGTCCACACACAGATCCATTGTAACAGACAACCCTTTATTTCCCATAAAACTTGCCTCAGGACATCTAAGTTAAAACCTTTTCTGCCATACACAAGCTAAGAGACGACTGAATGTTTCCTAATAGCTTCAACGTCTTGTAACCCCCTGCCATATAAGAAGCAGTATGCCCTTGGCAATACACAACACGTGAGATTATACCATTCTACAATTCTTTATGGTATTTACAACAATAGGCAACGCATCTTCCTGTATGTATATATATTAAAATGAATAGCAGACACCTGATTTTACACCAGACAATTTCTGTGTTCTGTATCAGTCTAATGCAATGGCATTGATTATGTTAAACACGTTACACTCCAACTTCGTTACAGCTGACATTTTTGCTTGTTTTCCTAGGCACACTATGATTACATGAGGTTGGAATTAATTACAATGGAAAGTATGGCAGATGAAGGTACTGCGTTGTTTGTTTTTGCAACAATTGAAATTTTATATGAACACGGTAAATGTATTGATTTTGCATAAAATGTCCATTCGTCTTCAGTCTCAACAAACATTCTTGCTAAAACACGGAAAGTTAACATTAACAGACATGATTTTTTTTTTCTATTTATTTATTTATTTATTTTAGACAGGGACCTTAGGCAGCTGTTTGTAATAAAGGGGATGCAGAACTTTCCCAAAACTATATTAACAAAATAATTCTCAAAAAGGGTTCATTGCACACACATTTAAATGCTGCTACTTGTACTGTTTTGCACCGTTTTTGCTTGTTTTTGTTTTTACATGGTTTTGATATGTGAGTTGTTTTAAGCAGAAATGTGACACTATCCGCGTAATAGAAGCTTGCATTTTATGCAGGAAACTGAAAAACATTATTTTTTTTTTTTTTTAAATCCCAATAAATCGTGGTTGTATATACAAACACACATGAAATAAATATCTACAATTTATGTTGGTACACTGTAACAAATGTTTTGTTTTTTCTATTTTAGTTTAATGGATACTGAAAAATGCCAAATCTGTCTCGGGGATTTGATAGTAAAAAAAATATTGGGCTTGTTTACTAAAAGGTATTTTAAATCTGAATTTGAAAACATTGCTTTTGTTTGCCAAAATTTTGTAAGATACTGAACGAGTCACAGTTATTTACTAGTTAATTAATTTATTTTATAAGGAACTGCTAACGTGGGATTGAAATTTTGGAATTTAAAGTTAAAATAATTTAAAAAGTGCGAACTAAAGATTGGCCAGAGATCCAAGATACAATCCTGGTTTTAATTGCAAGGTCTTACTTTATTGCAGGCCATTAAGCTTTATCTGACAATATTACCTTAAACCTAGAACCATATATTTTAAAAGCAGATGAGAGACAAATGGTGTATCTAGTTAGTCTGTCAACTATAACTGTCAACTAACAACTCGTTTTCCTGTGCAGGAATTCAAAACTATCATACAGCGCTGCGGAACATGTTGGTGCCATATAAATAAAACTTTTTTTAAGATGTTCATAACAGATGGAAAAGACTGGTGCATTCCTAGCCTATGCCATGTAACGAGCAAACTGTTTGTCGCAGTTTGGAGCACCCTGTTTCTGCATGGAGGGAGGATGCGTGTTGCATTCAGGAAACCACCCAAAATGTTTTTTTGTGGTGCAGCACAACGGTACAGGAAAAAAATGCACCCTCTGTACATGCATATTACACAATTCCAAAAAATCCCACGTGTTTCGCTCTACCACTAACTATTTTGTCCCAGGAATTCAGCCCTCCTCAATTAATGTTTTAATTAAGGCCATACCCTTTATTAATAGCACACAATGCTGTCACTGTCCTGCATCCCTAGCACAGAACGCAATGGGCACAATCTGTCTGCAGTCCATAAATACAATGATGTGAAAGCCATTTAGGACAGCCGTGGTTTTGCTAATTCCAGGTGCCATTAACCTTTTGCATACTGAAAAGTCCTTAATCCTCTGAATGTAAATATCTCAGGACTCTCAGTTACACGATAGCACAAGAAATGTCTTATTGATTAAACAGTATTCTAATGCCATAACACTGTATAACAAAATCCTGTGGAATCATATGCATAAGTAGCTTGTACGCTTGAATTCATGGAATTTTTTAAACAGGTGAATATATGAGCAAGAACAGAACATAACTGTACACAAGGGGGTCATCATACATGCACAAGAATAAGGATCATGCGTGTACAAGAAAAGAAGGGATGATGCATGTACAGAAGAGAGGCATCATACATGTACAGGAATAGCCTGTCATACATGTAAAGGAACATGCCATCATGAATGTATAAGAGAAGGTCTTAGGGATGATGCATGTATAAGAGAAGGTCATCATACATGTACAGGAATAGCTTGTCATACATGTAAAGGGACATGCCATCATGCATGTACAGGAGCAGGAAATGATGCATGTATAAGAGAAGGCCATCATACATGTACAGGAATAGCTTGTCATACATGTAAAGGGACATGCCATCATGCATGTACAGGAGCAGGAAATGATGCATGTATAAGAGAAGGCCATCATACATGTACAGGAATAGCTTGTCATGCATGTAAAGGGACATGCCATCATGCATGTACAGGAGCAGGAAATTATGCATGTATAAGAGAAGGCCATCATACATGTAAAGGAGTAGCCTGTCATACATGTACAGGAACATGCCATCGTGCATGTACAGGATCAGGAAATGATGCTTGTATAAGAGAAGGCCATCATTCAGGTACAGTGATAGGGGACTGTGCATTTACACAAGCAGAGGATGATGTATGGGCCCTAACATGTACAGGGCAGGCTAACATACATGTAAAGGACAAGAAAACCCTTTATCTGGATTCACACTCAATATCCTTCCTGATTTACTGGACCTGAATATAAAACCCTCCAGTGGCCTGTTCAAAGTCTGTGTCTCTTACTCTGCACAACTGACCAGAGACAGTTGGAATGTACAGATGTCCAGGACCTAATGAAACAGGCAGTTTTTTCTTTTTTTCTATTTTTCATGAAACAGACAGTTTAACCTTCTGCTCAGAATCTGAATTAAACCGATCATCGTTACATCTAAAGGGATATGCATTCACAAGCCAGTCATTGTCTAGTGTGCATCCTCACCCACTAGCTTAAGGCAGTAATGGAATCATACCGCTTCACTAACAAATATTTTTCCCAGAATGTCTCTCAATAAATTCTCCCTCTCCTTCGTTTTGTTGTTGTTGTTTTTTTTGGTGCAACAACAAATGTTTAACAACTAACTTGTCATTATCCCATTTCTGATTTTACTCCTACATTAATGTTACAGATTATTTATCCAAGTTAATCGCAAAATATCTTATTTAACTTAGTGCTGACTGCTCTAAATTCCTGCTTGCAAAGAATTTAGGACAGCTTAAAGGGTCACTATAGTCACCGGAACCACTACAGCTTAATGTAGTGGTTCTGGTGTCTATAGCCTGTCCCTGCAGTGCACTGTAAGCACTGCCTTTTTAGAGACAATACAGTATTTACATTGCTGGCTAGTAACACCTCTAATGGTAAACACTCAGATGGCTACTAGAGGTGCTTCCTACTCCAGTGCTGCACAGTATGCAGCACTGGCGTTCAGCAGCTCTACGCTCTGCATTGAGGCGCTAAATGTTCCACTGATTCAATGCATCTTTATGAGGAGATGCTGATTAGCGCAGGGCAAGCATTGGATTGACTGAGATCATCATGATTGATGATCTCACTTATGGAGGCGGGCCCAGCCAGGGCAAGACCGGTGCGGCATGGGGGAAAATGTGAGTAAAATCACCTTTAATTTCAACAGAGATGGGGCCAGGGACCTAATGATTTATTTCAGTACTATAATGTCAGGAATTCATGTTTGATAGCTCTTTATACAGAACACCAATTATCTTTTAGAACCCAGATCCTATTATAATTCTGCTTAGCATACAATCAGTAATTTCATGTAGTTTTAAACTAATGATTTTTGTCATACAATACTCTCACCACTGTAATTTTTACCCTAGTAATAGTCGGTGTACCCAACTAACTCTCCTAAAAAAAATGATCATCTCTCACCCACCCACCATGGTTTCATCTTTTCTTTATTTCCCCCTTCCGTAGATAACGAACAATTGACACTGTCCTAAGACATCTTGGAATCAGGGTTGCACTCAGCAGACAGTGTTTTTTAACAGATGTCACTCGTAAGCAGAATTCTGCTCTTATAGCAATATCAAGCCTATCGCTCACATGTAACTCCCAGGAAAGTCTACATACTGCATGTTCAAAGCGATTTCATATTTCACACCCCTGCGCAATTTTCCTCATTCGCACATATTTCTTGCGTCATTAACGTAGCTACAGCTTTCTGTTTCACTTGTTTGGGTTTTTTGCACGGGGATAGACTTTTCTTTGCAGATTTAATAAACCGTTTACAAATATGATTTTTGGTACCACGTGAGTAGTAAAAAGAATTATATTATACTTATATGTGGCGTGATTGCGTATTGGTCATTACTTGAGTTTTGCAATTTGTATATTTGCTTTTGTAAAATAACTGAGAATGATGATGGCCTACAATATGCAATACTGGTTTCAAAACCAAGCTTTAAACATGGTTTGAAAGCTATGCTGAATGTGTTAATGTGAGAGAATCTATGATGACTACAGATGATGACATAAGCATATGAAGATTCTCCATTCCTCGTGATCATGTATAAAGCACTCATATTCTGCAGCATTGTACAATGGGAAGATCATCAACAGTATTGTAACAAGTGACTGAGCTAAGTGCATCCAATTCCATTTAATATCATTTCAGATTTTTTACAAAATATTAATACAAACAGACAGTAAATAAATTATATGCTTACTAAACACGATTAGAAAAAAAAAATATGTTTGGAACTATTTAAATGCTGGAAGAACTTGAAAATTTAAGCATTATGGTGCAGCTCATTTGGATTCCATTTATAGATTGAAAATGGATATTTCTAAATAGCGTGTTGTAGTCACTTGACAATTGACTTACATGATTTAAGCAAAGAAAGTGACGTTGGAAGAATAGTTTGGCTAAATTGAGCCAACCAGACTTAGATTTTTGTAACTACGTTATTTCAGCCTATACTTTGTAATATAGTTGTTACGGAAAAACTAATAATTTTTCAGTGAATAAAAAAAAATCCTTTGTTATGTTAAACATATTTTCCTTCAAAAAAAAAGAAAAATTCACACCAAATCACACACGTTCTCTTTCTGCTTTGTGTTTTCATTCCTTGAAATTAAATTCAGTCAGAAACTTTGCAAAAAAAAAAAAAACCAACAGAAAACAATTATGGGCAAGCTGGTGTAATTTGAAACAGCCAAAGATAAATGCAAATTAGCGTAAGGGAAAAAAAGAAAGATTTTAGATTTGTGAACAGCGACAAATGTTCAATCACAGTATTAAGAACTGCAAGGTATAATATGAGAAGAACTATAATGTAATAAATAAATGATAAAAGCCCAGTCTGATATCAAGAAAGGATAACAGATGGAACACTGGAGAGGTCTTATCCAGCGATCTATGGATAGATGACGCCATAGTTAAAAACAAAATAATAATAGTAAGGTTTTTGTGTTACTTAAAAAATATATACATAACCTTAAATTTGGTGGAGATTAAGCAACTGAAAAAAAAAAAATAAACAACAAAATAAACTTGTGTTACATTATAACGGTAATCTAGTAAACTCTGAATAAAAATGCCAAGCTGTAAAGCCGAGATTTTTTTTTTTTCAAATGACCTATTTTAGGTACAATTCAGAGTTTAGTAAATATACCTGAATATGTCAATATCTAACTTTCCATGTTCATATTCCAAGTTCTGACAGAAAAAAAAAATGCATCACCCCCTTTCCTAGCTTGACTGATTAAGGCTTTAAAAAACAGCAACCACTGATCAAAAACTCACTTGTTCTTTCGGTATAAATTTTATTTTAAATTCTGTGCATGAAAAAAGACACAGATTCTGACAAACGTGGTGAAATTCTTCAAACGATCTGCTTGTATTGTTCACTGTAAAACGAAGATATATTTGTTGTTACCACCATAACATATCCCTTTACTTTTCATAATCTTCCGCAGGATTTTTTATTTTTATTTTTTATATTTGGTGATGAGATAGCTGGCAAGCAGATAAACAGCTTTAAAAAATATGCATATTTAGCTGTTGGTGAGGGCTTATAATTTAGCGTGAATAGGGAAGCAGTTTAAAAAGGCTCGCAGTTTGTGATCAGTGCTGAAACACATATCTACGGTTATTGAAAATATAAATATACTTTATTGAAATCTCTTTATTGAAACTATAAATATAAGGGAAGAAACAAAGGCGAATTCAGAAATATATTTTGGATTTCTTCCTGTATTACGCAAAAAAACAAGCAAACAGGCACAAAAAAAAAGAACATAATTTAAAAATATATATAGTAAAAAAATAAAAATAAACTATATTCGGTTGCAATGATTTTAATCAAGACTTTCTCTACCCTCTCACTTGCTGGATAGAATAAATAGAATTCCAGGATATATATTTTAATATGCACACATTTAGGATTACCGAAGAAAATGTGCATAGAGTTTCTCTTAAGTGGCAGTTTGTTAAATCTTCTCACCTGCATTTTTATCCAAAAAAGCCTCAGTAACCACAACTGGTTTAAAACGTCCCACCCTTCCTATTAACCAGTTAACGCCTAGCGGATCCTGCCAAGGGATCTCTTCGGTGTATTGCAACCCACCCCTAGGAGTGAAAGAGTTAAACGTGTCAAGGATTTACCAGCAGTCCCAGTATCAAATCCTCAGTTATTCCACAGTGTATCAATACAATAATTTTGTGGATACTCTAGGGAATAATGCACATTGTGGAACTAAGTGCGAAAAGCGGATGTGTTTGAAAATATTTCGTCCACTTCACGAATGAAGAGAGGGACTTTCATTTTGTTGATATTATATGTTTTATGTTTTGTTCTGTTTTTTTTTTGGGAGGGTAACACACTTCCAGTAGTGTACTCATTACAGGAATACTGAACTTCCATATTTAAGATTGGAGAAGCCTTGACAGCCCATCTTCTGTCCTACCTAATTTAGTTTCACATCACCCCGAAAGAATGTTTTACCTTCACGGTATTATCCCGCAACTATCTTCTTTACCCACATACCATAACACTAAGTAATACAATGTTAAAAACAATATGATGATAATATATCATCATCACAATCATTCTTTTTTCATAAACACCTAAATAGTATTTCCCGATGTTTTCATGGGATTACATCAACTACTATCCTTACCCATCTAACAATAAAATTATTATTTTCCAAAATTTTATAGGATTCTATCAGTTCTGATGCTTATCCAGATACGTTTACTCTAAAATACAGTAATGGATCATTTTCACGGAATTATATCAACCGCTATCTGTACCCACATACCCTAGCAATAAGATAACCTAATGCTTCCAAACATTTTTATAGGATTATATCAATCTCAATCTTTACTCGCATACCCAACCTATAAAATAATGTTTTCTTTATAGTAATACGCATGAGCACACCTTTATCTGTGGCTGTATAAAGTGTATAGTTCTAATGTAAGATGACGGAAGACACAGACAATTCTACTGCGTATCTATCGCTAAGGGCTAAACCACAAGAGACTAGCTCACATCTAGGTTTCAACGAAAAAAGGGGCTGCAACATCATGGTTTCTGCGTCACAGCTTTAAGCGCAACTACAGATTCTGTTGACTAAGATACAAACTTTGCATAGAATCTCATGAACCTCTGACAGCAAAACAGCTACACACAGTATTTAGCTACTGCATGGCAAAATATAGGATATAAGCACATAGGAGCATTTAACCCTAAACATGGCAAAAAAGGTGCTGCACACCTTGATCGAACTACTTAGCTAACAGCAAAAAGAAAAACGTACCTGTTTTATATTAAAAATTTATTTGCAGCATATGTTTTTCTATTTCTTTTTTTAAAGTCAATCTGTGGTTTATAAAATGCTGAATTTGACCTATTTAATCAGAGTAAAAATCTTTATATCATACACTTGCTGCTACAGTAAATTAGTGGTGCAAAGAGTCGTGCATCGACGACAATTACAAACAAATCTAGAATTTAAATTCAAGAGAAAAACAAAAAGATTAATAATTGCATAATTGTAATAATTGAATAATTGCAAATTTTAAAAGCATCACGGATAAAGTTAGCACTGGACGATTTGCCAAGTCTATTTTCTCTCTTTGTGTTTTAAATGTTGCACCAGTAAATAAGTTCAGATGATGAGTGTGTGCGTTCAGTAACGCTATGGAGCAATTTCGCAGCCTGTTCCTATAAGACAGGCAATTGGCTCCCTCTAGCAGTAAGTGTTTGTCAGTTAAATGCCTCAGGGCACAATTGAGATGTTGAAGCTTAAAAATTCAATAGAAAAAGGCAGAAAAGTTTATTTTGAAAACTATCCGCAAAAACAATAAATAAAGAACAGCAAAAAGCAACAGATATAAGTCATATTGTAGAAAACTGGAACGTTTTTAAATCACCAAGCACCTTATAAACGAAGTCTTGGATGGAGTTTGTTATTAGTGCATGATATCTGATCAATCTTCCCTGTAAAGCACTATATTAAAAACTAATTATTCTCAAGAACGCTGTCAACGCCTGGCATGGTGCGCACTTTGAAATGACACTCTATCGTGCCACTGTAATTTATAGGGCCAAAAAAAAATGAATACCCTACCCCCCCCCCCCCCAAAAAAAAAATGTACTGTAGCATGCTTGTAAAATAGAAGAAGCTGGTTAACAGACATAAACGTAGAAAGAAAACAGTTTGATAAAGATAAAAAGAAAGAACACATACACACAATCACAAAACACAATCTTGTAAACAATGATGAGATTACAATTAGCTTGGCCGCTGGTAGAACCTGCTGCAATTAAAACTCCTCAAGAAAACACTGACAACAAAAAAAATAAAATAAAATGATAATCTGTAGTGAATTTACAAAATATTGAGAGGAAACACTCATATATTCATTTTTGTCTGTGCATAACAAATGGTTCACAGGTATGATTCATTTATGCCTTTGGTTAGATGACAATTAAACATTTCCCTTTGCTACCTGTAGGCAGTGAATGGGTTAGCTATTTAATCAAAGGTGTTTTTTTTAGGAAAAAATTTAATTAGGTGCTTTTATGATAGATTTGCAATCAATGTATAAGAACACAGCTGACAACTCAGTATTGTCACTTTTAAATCATGCGAGCTAATTGTTGTACAAACGCGTAAATATAAAATTCTTTAGAGGTGTATGTTGTTCTGTCATTCTCATGGGAAAATGAATGCATATATATATCTATATATTTATATATAGATATATATATGCATGAACACTCTGCTGACTTGGAGCTGATGAAATCGTAATGCTAATTTTATGTAATTCTATACAACTTGTCTAGATGTTAAGATAAAGTGTACGTAGATATTAACTAACAAGCAGAGATTTAAGAAATTGTGTTTTTACAGCAGAATGCATGCAGTCTTTAGGGTAGCACAGAATTTCACCAATTCTGTAAAATGCATCTGTCATGCAAAAATGAAAAACTGTATCAAAAGCTTGTCATAACGGATATTAAGCTCAGCATGATGTATCATGGAATCATCGAGGATATTAGTCAAATATTAATTGTCGTTGGGTTTAAAGTTTAGAGGCCTGTAACTGTGCGTTCATTTGTAACTTAAAAGCTCAGATCTTGAAAGTGTACTAATTATTCATGCATTTCACATCAGTTAAATTAATCGATAACATGGCAGCCACTATTAGGCCGCTGCGACTTCTTTGACGGTATGAAATAATGCAAATAGGTGACGGCACATAAAACAAAACATACAAATTTACATTGGGTTTTAATAGTCAATTTTCTTGAATTGTATTCTTTTTTTTTTTTTTACTTTTGTCCCTGCAGGGAAGAACAATGCTTAAGTAAGATTGTCGCTGAGACACACAGACGCAAGAGTTATTTTACGACTAATATGATTGGGAGCGAATCCACTGAACGCTTAGAAAGTAGTGAGTGGATATCTGATGCGAAAAATCTGCCTGTCACTAGATTCCTATAGTACATTTAAAAAAAAATACAGAAGGCTTTTCAACAATAAACAATAAAAACTGGTTTGACGACTCAGTCCACTAAATCTGCAGGTATTTTCCTGCTAAAACATCCGTGCTACTCTCTTCGATCCTCCCTCTGAAGCCTTATTTTCATGTTGCTGACAATAACGTCTGGATATAAACTATTTATCTGCATACTGTAGCACCCGTAAGAGGCACAATTAGCTGAAAGGAAAAGTCTTTTGTCTGCATCAGTCCTATGGCATGTTGCTTGTGATGTGTGTTGTTGTTGTTGTGTGTGTTTGTATGACTGTAGCTGGTTTATATTCCTGTCTGATCCTTGTTTATTTACCCTGTGCCAACATAGTCCACACAGTAGAATACAATAGGCAAGGAAGCAGTAGCATATATTACACCCTCTATCAAAAGAAACAGCTAATGGTCATGGGGCGATGGATAACAGATTTCCAAGACAGAAGAGCTGACGATCTAATCTGACCCACAATTTTTCTTTTCTTAGTTAAACAACTTAATTCCTTGCAGGGACTTGCTATTTTGATCTACCCTCCCCCAGCCCAAAGCACAGTAGCTGAAACCTCCCCAAAAATGAAAAGGTATTCAGTTACATTAACCAGATCCTTTTTTTATTTTCTTCTGCTCACATACAGGGTCCCTACACCTCGCTCTTACTTGACATTCATGAATAGGTTGTAAGGTATGCAGACGCCCATCCTTGGAGCCTGCATACTAGCTGACCTGATAGAATTTCTCTCTTCTGTTCCTTGTACGATTATAGATACATTACACAGACATGATATCAATTCATCATGATACCAATTTCTAGCAAAATCATATAACCGAATATAACCCAGGTTCACTTGGAGATATTCAAAGCTGGAACCACAAGACCAGCTTTTCTTTTACAAAACAGGGGTGCATGTTTCTTCTCTGTACTGGTAACCATGAAATGGCACAGCATCTTCCCCAGCAATCATTAAACATGCAGCTACCTGTCTGTATCGTCAAACTCCCTAAAACTATTCCCATAGAGCTAGTCTAGCAAGCTGGATAGAGTGCTGCTTATCACATTCTGCCAAGTACCTTGCAAAACAACAAATGTCTGCATCACTATCTCTGTACATTAACCACTTGCATGCCTTTTTCATTAACAGTTTTATTTTTACAATTTATACAGAATTTCATCACAGTCCATAAACATTAAGTTTTGAGAATAAGTCAAATGGCATCTGGTAAATGTTGCAAGATATCTGTATGTCTGTCTAGCTATCTATCTTAACCCATTGATTGCCAGAGTAAGTAAATAGTGTTAGGCACAGCAGGCAGAACCTGGCAGAGAAGGGGTTATGCAAAATGCTAATACACTTCATGCATATTTAAATAGTGCCAGTGATGTCAGATCAGATGCAGTGATCAATGAGCCTAAAAGCATTAAAATGTAAACATCCAAATATACCTACCTGTTCTATGATTTTTTGCATCCACTCGGGGGGGGTCACTGCAGCAGTTTTATAGTCACCCATTTCCCCAAAAAAATATATGCAGGCCTCATGTAGATATATGCTGGAAATCATTTAATGGGGTGCATAATTCATCCTCTGCATGTCATTCTATTACACAGATAGCACCCCAAAAATCCACACTCATCTTGGCTGGCAAAGCTTGGCAATAAAATTCCTTCTCAGCAGTATCTGCTTATGGAATATATACATATATTATACACATGATGGTGTGGGAGAACTTCCAACCAAAGGTACGAAAGACAGCGGTGTATAATCATGTAATTCTAATTTTAAGGGGTGGGGGGGGATAAAAAAAATCTATCATCCATTTTTTGTGCTAAATTCATTTTCTTAACCCTGACCAAAAACAAGCAAAAAAAATTGGGTCCCCCATTATAACGATAAAACATGCACCTCCTTTTTTCAAGAAAAAAAAATAAAATGCCAATTTTCAATCATTCAAAAAAATAAAACCCCCCACAAATCCTTACAAAACAAAAATAAGGAAGGGGGAAAAAGAGAGAGAAAAAGCAGATAGAGACAGAATGGCAGACGAGAGGACTGTAGCAGTGAAATAAGACTGTTCTCCCAGCAATTCATGGGAGGGGAGAGAACCTTATATATTCCCTATATATATTTATTTATTTAAATTTGTTAAAATCTACCATAAATATTCCCCACTGCCCCTTCCCCCTCCCAGGATCCTCAGATCCCTAGCCCAGCTCTCTGCACAAGGGGTATTGTATAGAGGGGAGTTTTGCCTGGTTTTCCCAAGATTAATGCAACATTCCCTGGCTGTGCAATGGATACTGATAGCTGGGCTTGGAAGAGACCTATTGCACAGCATTTTCAGGAGGTCATGGGGTGAGATTAACAAAGCTAAAGAAGACTAAGGTGAAGCCGTGTGCAGTCCAATAAGGCAGACAGCCTGTTTTCAAGGGCTAGATCAACTATCTTCTCTTCCCCAGATCATCCTTTTTATCCCAAAAATACCTTTCCCCCCTTACTGTGCTCACTATAGGGGCTGCTCTGCTGGTGAAGTTAAATTAATAAAGTCAGATGTAAGGGGGATTACATAGCAGTCACCATGTGCACTCAGTAAAGTCAGCCACTATCACTTTCATATTGTATTCTAACAAATACATATAGTGCCTCTAACACATTTAGGTGCGTCTGTATGTGTGTGTCGCGTGTGTGCATGTGTGTGTTTATCTATATAAATGTACATAAAAAAGGCAGCGAAAAAAATTATGTTAAAAATGGAAACATACTTTTTTTAAAAAATAGCAAAAATAAGTTCAATTTAATCAATTATTTCTTAAAACAAATGCACACTATTAGATTGGCTGAATTTGCAAAGAAAATGTCATTGGTGAAGTAATTTATTTTTTTACTAAATACAAATAAACATAAAAAAATGTTTCTTAACTACAGTGTGACCATAATTTAATTACACTAGTTCACAGACTTCACCCAATTAGGGTGTCAAAATTGGGCCATGGGCTATTTTCACTATTTAAATTCTTAACAACACACACCTACGGCACGCCAAAGTCTCGCTGATAACCTCTGTTTTCATTTTGTCTTTTTAATTTCACTGCCTGATAAATCTCCCGCCATAATTTGATTGCAAGCTTTGCTGCGCTCATTTTTTTTTTTTCTGAGAAAGTCATTTTAGTTGCCGGTTACCTGCATTTAACACCTATTTTACCAACAAATATCTTCACTGAGTCGTGCCTTTTTCTTCAAGGCTACTACGAAACGTATGGCGAATAATTGTGACTTATTTGCGAAGATATGTCGAACTGCGTCTTGAATATGTCTGCAAGGCTACGCCATAAGATATGCTGTAAAACCATTGGCATAGTTGATAGATTTTTATTATGACCCCCATAGTCACCGGCTACCTACGGTGACAAAAAATTGTCATATTTGAACATGGTGTACTTCCAACCCCATTGACCCAAATTAAACAAACTATAAGGCTGTGGGGTATTGCTAAGAAGTACTTAGATGGCCTTAGATTTACAGAACAAAATTTCAACTTTCATGCAGTCCAAGCAAATGTAATAGCACGTAATATGTTCAATTGAGGTTTTATTTTTTGTTTAATTGTTTTATAAGAATTCTACCCGAATCCCCAAAATATACCTGTCTGGGAGGTACTGACATCCTTTCCAAATTCCAGGTTACTTAATAAGAGTCTGTGAGCTTTGCTGTGATCCTACTGCACTCTACAAGCCCATCTCCCCATGACCCAAAACATAGCCCAAATCCTGCACATATGGGTCAGTAAAGACCCAAATTGCCCCAGACAAACCTAAAAAAATGCATGCTCCATTCAGTGTGTGCAGTCCCCCTCCCCTCCTAATAAATGGATCCAAGGCCCCCCTTATACGTCTCCCCCTCTCCTTCTCTCTCCCTCCAGAGCCTCCTTGCCAGTTTGTATGTTGTATTTCCATTTACAGACAGGCAGTTGTATTTCCCTGCTAGCCATGTGTTTGTCATTAGTTCCCCCTCTGCCTGTACTGCCCAGTTCCTATCTTCCTCATCACCAACTTTCCAAGGGAAAAAAAATTAAGAAAACTATACATTTACATTCATTCAGTGACCAGTGCATTATTTAACCCCTTGCTTGCATGTGAATCAACCTAATGGCATAACCTACCCACTGATGCACAGAACGCATGCATGTATTATGATTGCATTGCATCAGAGTTAAATAAAATCTGCAAAGCATTGCACTGGACAAGCTGCAGTCCCAATTCTTTTGCAGACATTGGGATCTGGTTTAATAGATGAGAAGTGTATTTTTTTTTTTTTAAATATATATATATTTTCTTTTTTTTAGCAAATTAAATGCAAGCTTAATGGGTGTCATTAAGCATGATGCTGTAAGGAGAGAGTGATTTTACTTAAAATCTAGCAGAGTCTACAGTAGTGTTTGCTGTGCTCTGACTTTTCACTTTCTACTTGTCAATATGTATCTCATGTGTTCTTGCAACTTTCTCCTCACTTCCCAGTTAACCTGATCCAAGGCAGCCTGGATCTTGCAAACCCTGACAAGGCTCAAGAAACGTTTTAACCCCTTGATTATAAAAAAAAAAAAGCATGGGTGTCTGCCCCACCTACACCCTCGTTTCCTTCCTCCCCATGCTGCAAGGAGGGTGATGGGAGCTCACCCATTGCCTGCCTTGGAACTTACCCCACAGTTTCCCATGCAAAGCTGACTTACCTGTGATGAGATCCCTTTGTAACAAGTGCTGAGGTTTCCCCTGCTTCCGACGGGACATTGCCCTGGCATTTAAACTGGCATCGCCCAGAGAGCTCGCTCTGACCCAGGACTCTTCCTCACCCCCACGTTGTACTTCTTTCCTCTTTCAAAAAAATGAAAAAAAAAATCTGATGTCTTCTAGAATTCAAACGAAACAAAAAGCTGCAACAATGTTGCAACAGTAAAAAAAAATGAAAAAATAATAATAATAACAAAAAAATCAATTGCAATGTCCCCTTATCAATAAGCAGAGGTCTTCTTCTATAGTCTCTTCTTAACTTAGGAACTGTCACCCACTCGTGTTAATGTCCACAGTGCAAGGCAATGGCAATTCTCCCATAAAAGCAAAGCAAAAAAAAAGAATAATATTAATAATAATAATGATAAAAAATATTTCTCAAAAAAAAATAAAAATGCCCAAAAAAGAGAGAGTGAGAGAGAGAGAGGAGCTGACCCTGCTGGGTGTCAAGGCTTGCCAGAGAGTGTCTCCTTGGTGCAGCAAGCCTGGCACTGCCCTGGTATGATATGCCCAGCAGTGCGGTTGGCACCCTAAGAAGAGGACTGGCTGGTCCAGCGCAGTGCTGATGAGCTCTCTCTAATTGCAATGTGAAGATGGCGGAGCCCTGGTTCTCTGGGAGCTCTGCCTATCTATGGCTGGGGCTGCCTCTGTACAATGGGATAAGAATACAAGTTCAAGTGCGGACGTGACGTTTAATCCACACCAGAGACACAAAGACAGAGAGTAGGAACACTGGGGACGACTAGTGGTGGCTTTTTAACACTGTGCCCTGTAATGGAACAAGGAGAAAGAACCACATGTATAGTGAGGGCTTCTTACTACAGAACCCCCTCCTCCATCTCCCCTGCACCCCACTGCTTCCTAAAAATCCAATGCACTGCACACACTGCATGATCCCATCAGGGAGACCTGGGATTCAGAGGGGGTACATGCAGCAAAAGTTAAAAAAAAAACATATATATTTTTTATTTTAAAGGTCACTTTAAAAAATAGGTTTACTTCCTTACTATTACACTGATATCTCAAACCCAATCAGACCTGTTTTGGGTCTATGCCAGTTTCTGCAGCTAGAGTGACTTGTGATTTAAGGGGGATCTAGGGTGATGGTTCGCTGATATAATCAATATAATAAAATTACTGTTATTATTATTATTATTATTATTATTGCATTTACTTTGCATAGATGCATGGTTGCCTCTGATCTTGAATATTGCCTTGGGACACTGGATCATCTCCAGCGACTCAATTACTAGGTTTTGCTATACAATTTGAAGTATCCATTTGGGGGAATCTGCCTGCTATGGGGTTTAATGTACAGACAGTGTACAGGTTAGTAAAGGTTTAATTTGGTTTTATGGATACCTAATTGATACACACACTGTTTAAACATGAAAGCTATTGACTTAATCCCTATCATTTATTTCCTCATAAAGCAAGGGTACAAGCAAATGGGTGCTGACTGATTTAACCCCCTGTGTGCCAAAACCTCTTTGGCATATCACGCCTTTCATCAGAGAACCATCTCAGACAGGGTTAATATAAATGGCATTAACTATTAACGTAGAGTAACGACGACTTTTTTTTCTTCATTTGATATTATTACTCGTTAATGCAAATACCTCCTTGTATTGCTGTATACTGCCGTATGACCAAAAAAAAAATCATGCAAAGGAATTAATTCACTAAGCAGTGATTTGTGGAGAATTGACAAGGGAATTGCAAATTTTTTAGATCGAAATAGCCAATTTTTGTTTAAAAAAAAAAAGGAAATTTCGACTGAATTATGTCAGTTTAGCTATATTGACTAAAAATTTTAATTCCCTGCCTAATTCTCACCAGGTCACTGTTTAGTGAATAAATCCCAGTGTGTTATTCAACTCTCTGGAAATACATTAACCGATTTATTGTTAGCGTGTAATATTCTGCCATGAGTGGGCACCTAAGCTTGATAAATTACAAGGTTATTTCTTTTTTAGTCCAATTAACTTCATGTATATGTGTGTGTGTCTGTAGATAGATAGATAGATAGATAGATAGAGATACACACACACACTAAGGCGATAGTTCACTTTATATCGCTGGCATTTTGAACGCCATTTCCGAATTATTTTAATTATTAAGTGGTTGTAAGAAAATTAAAATGACATTTTCCTCCCCAATGGACATTTTTTTTTTTTTATAGCAAAACTCCTAATGAGTATGCAGAAAAAAGACAATTTAAAATAATTAAACCAGTGAAATTATAGTAGGAGGATAAAAGAGGTTAAAGAAGAAGAAAAAAAAAACACAGGGAACATGTGTCAACACGCAGGAATTAATTTTATTAACACACATATTATACACATGTATGAATAAAAGCTATGCATATTCATTAGCACTGAAACAACGCATGGGGAGTGAGAAAAAAAGGATTGCTCCCTGTTCACTTAATACCTACATTGTTTCAGTTGATTTTTTTTTTTTTAGATTTTCCCATTTTTTTGAAAAATGTAATTCATATTCAAACCTTCCTTTAAACAAATTCATAATTTGTATTTATTGCAAAATATTATAAATTAAAATTTATCATATCATTAATATTTTATTTATTTTATATTTTTCAACGCGCTTGTTCCTTTGAGGTCTCAGTGTTTAAAAAAAGCCGAGTTATATTAATTCGCAGCTGCCTTAATTAAAAATGTATTAATTTGCATTCGTCTATTTCTAGAATGCAGGATAACACTAAATGTTTTTGTTTCTTTTTAATTCATGCATTTTTGGTAAAAAAACAATTTTTGCTTTTTTTTTTTTTTTTTTTAATCTATAGTATATTAAGAAACCATTCTTACACTGAACATCATTACAGTATTTTTGGCATGACTCTTGTCCCATGAATAATATTTGCCTAGTATTTATAACAAGCCTAGTCTTCTTTCCCCGGACAACAATGTCATCTTTCCTTAAAACCGTGTGATAAGCAGAGGCCCTCTCTTTGGGCAACAGCACAGCAGGATCCTGCCTGCTAAGGGGGGTGGGAGGTGGTGTGTGTGGGGGGGGGAGGATGTTGAGAAAGGGAAAGGAGACTGTTTCTTCACCCTTCTATCCCCAGGCTAAATCCTAACAAAGTCCAGCACATGGAACATTATTATAGATATGAAGCCAGCATGATGCTCCTACTCTTCCCATGGACAAGAATTCCTGAGCGTTTAACCCATTCCTTCCCAGAGACTTAGGTTGCCCTGCAGAATTAAAAAAAAAAAAACAGGTATGAGATTTGGATAATTTATGTTACATAATAAACTATAAACTAACAAAAGTAATAAAATAAATGAAATGATTCATGATTTGCCTCTCGTAAATGTCTTTGCTGCCAAAAATTGCGGCACCGAAGGAGTTAACAAGATAATTGCCTTCTATCAGTTGTTCTTTAGTTATGAATGGGGATGTCTTCAGTGATATATCAAAGGAGGGATGAGTATCTGTAAATATGCACTCCTCTTTTTTTCTTCCACTCCCCATTTTTTTTTTTTTTTTAGTATACCAATTCTTTTTTTGGTACTGCTCCTTAATTCTCACCTAAAACCTGCAAAGAAAAAAAAAAACATATACAAATCTCTCACCCCCCTCCCCTCCACCTGCTGTCACAATGATGGATGTCAAGGGGGTCATTTGGGTCCTGTCGAGAATGCAAAAAAAACTTTTCAATATGAATGTAAGAAGACTCTGTGTGAACTAAAAAATACAAAACAGAAAGGACTACCCGTGTTATAACTTTTCCTTTAGCCTATTTAACCCCTTGGTTGATTTATAATGCACGGAACACACCTGGGTTCATATTTTAGTTTTAGCTATTTTTACTTTTTTTTTTTTTTTGGGATGCACACAAAGAGGCACTCAGCTTATTGTATTCCATATACCTTATACAGACAGAGGGCATTCAATATTTGAGGTTTGTATGGCACTGATAACTAGGAATTATTTTTCAAGACTTCTCATCATAGTTGCATTTTGGATGCAAGAGAAATTGGCATAGGTAATGTCCTCTACTCTCAACTCAACAACTCAACATCATCATAGTTGTAGTCCACTGAAGCTGTTGTGTCCGAAGTTTCATTATCTCAGCAAAGTATGTATTGCGTTGATTCAGAAGGTGTCATTTCACCATCCAAAAGGATAAATCACAACAATATTATTTAGCGATGCAAACACTTCTAAATTCCTTAAAACGTGTGGACGTCTTTACCTGAGGTTTGTCTAGGTTTCTCCTGACTTGTAAATTCCCATAATGTAGAGCTCAATATTTCTTAACATCTAAATCGCAGTCACGTCTTTAGCAATGTGATATTAAAAAAAATGCACGAGAGACCACCGCAGGTGACATACTTGTAATAGAGTGGTAGGATATTCGCCATCATCCTAAAATGACTAAAGTGATAACTATGTATTTTGTACTCGTTACTTGCTATTTCAAAGTACAGGTCTCTATAATGTGCTACCATACTATATTTGCAGGACAGTTGCACTTGGGATAAAGGTTTAATGTTTGCTTGCTTTCAAAGGGGGCAATCTTTGTATAGTGGTAATGTTCAAGAAGTCTTTGGGTAAGTACCTCTGCTTCTGCCTAACCATTTTAAGGCAATTGGCCAAATACTAGGCTTTGCAAGTTTTTGCCCCGACCATGATAACACAAAAGTCTAATTTCTGCATAATCCATATACATTTGTGTAGGTTCTAACAGCATTGATGGGTTAAGAGATCTGGGTAGCAATTTAGACAGATCAGTACAAATAATGCAAGTGATAATGAAGTGGAATATCCTCAATTTCACGGCAGCAGAAAATTCCAGAGATTTTGTCTGCTGGAAGAGTGCATGTTTTTGTCAAACCGGTCAAAAATTATTTGACAAAATGCAGAGTGACTGCACCCAAAGACTCCTTATACCATAACCACTACAACAGGCTGTGGTAATACAATAAGCTGTAGTATTATGGTACTTTAATTCTCTGCTGTTTTTTGAAAAATCGGTTAATGCTGAGACAAGTCAGACATAGCAAACAAAACTTGAAATATGAACAGTATAACACTGAAACACTATATATATATATATATATATATATATATATATATATATACACACACACAGTAACAAAACTGAAACACCACACACACTATTACACATACACAGTATAGCATATCCGCAACAAACTCAAAATGCTCTTTGGCACATTAAACATAATAATAGTGAAATACCACATACAGATTGTATAAAACAGACAGTATAACACCAAGACACAAAATACAGTATGACACTAACAGTATAACATGGAAATATAACACACACTGTTTGACGCTTAGACAGTATAACACTGAAACACACAGTATGATACAAAGATGGTATAACATTCAAATGCAACATACAAAGTATGACATATACAACGAATAACAGTGAAACACAACATACACAGTAAAATACAGACACAGTATACCGATATAACACTGGAACAGCACAGATAGTATGGTACACAGTACACAACACAAAGCATTACATATACACAAAACACAGCATGGCACATACTCTGTTTAATAATGAAATCCAATACACACAGCATATAAAGTACACAATATAACAATGAAACAACACACACAA